TCGCAGAGGTGCTGAGCGAGCTGTCTGCCCGCGAGCTGCAGTGGCTGGTGCAGGGGCAGCTCCGCATCGTGGCTGAGACGGAGGGCCGGCACGCACGCCAGCTGGCAGGCACCGTCACCACCCGCCGCAGCTGTGACAGTGAGCATGGGGTGGGCACCCCGGGGCACGGGGTGGGGGGGGTGGCTGTGCCCCCTCATGCCAACCTCAACCCCCCCCCCCCCATCTCTCTCCCTGGGCTGAAGCCATCCAAAGCGTGCTGTGCGGAGCGGACGCCTTGCTGCCAACCAAGACGGGTGCTGTGGGCTCGGCCAAGCTGGCGCTTCATGAGAATGGCACCCTGGAATACCAGGTAAGCGGGGAGGCACCCGTCTCCCTCCTGGGGGGGTCCCAGGGGTGCCTCCCCGCTCCCCAGCACTGCCCCTCAGCACCCTTCCTGCAGGTGCAGGTGGTGGGCACTGCCAGCGAGGTGGTGGGCATCACGCTGGAGACCAAACCCCGGCGGAAGAACAAGAGGAACATCCTCTTTGACATGATGCCCAGCTACAAGGACGGGCTGGTGAGCACTGGGTGGCACTGGGGGGGACAGCACCGGGATTTTGAGCGAGTCCCCATCCCAACCCCTGTGGTATCCCACCGGCGGCAGGCCCAGGGCACCTGGCAGAGCCCCAGTGCCCGCGATGCCCACATGCTGCTGCAGAACGAGCTCTTCCTCAACGTGGCCACCAAGGACTGGGCGGAGGGCGAGCTGCGGGGCCAGGTCATCTCCCTGCCCTACAGCGGGCTGCTCGCCCGCTACACAGGTACCTGGGGGGCACCAGGGGTGGCAGTGGGGGTGGTGGAGCAGCCCCCCCACCCGCCACCTCCCACGGCCTCTGTCTGTGCACAGAGATGCCCGTGGCGCTGGCGGGGCAGCTGGTGTCCCCCCCCGTGGGCAGCGGTGCTGGGGGACACGCCTGGCTCTCTCTGGATGAGCACTGCCACCTGCACTACGAGATCTCGGTGGCGGGGCTGGGCCGCCCGGCCGACGGCACCGTCAGCGCCCACCTCCACGGGGTGGCTGAGCTGGGCGAGATGGGTGCCCGGCCCCACCAGCACAAGCGCCTGCTCAAAGGTTTCTACAGCACGGAGGTGAGGCGGGGAGGCGGTTGGGGCACCCCACAGTGGGGACCGGACCGGACCTCATCCCCACCCTGGTGCCTCTCTCTTCCCCGCAGGCTCAGGGGGTGGTGAAGGACCTGGACGCCGACCTGCTGCAGCACCTGGCGCAGGGCACTGCTTTCCTGCAAGTCAGCACCAAAGCCCACCCCCATGGGGAGATGCGGGGACGGGTAGGTCCCCGCCTGGGTAGGGCACCCCTGCCTGGGGACTCCAGCCAGGTGTGGGAAGGGGACAGGATTAGGGGGGCACACCGTGGCACAGTCCCAGCAGCTCGGCATGGTGCGTACTGCGGTCGTGGGTGCTTCCTCCATCCAGGTGCACATCCCCAACCGGTGCCATGCAGGAGGGACCCGCCTGGCCCCGGGCGAGGCTGAGCTCTCCGAGGGCTCCAAGACCAGGGACCTGGAGCAGGTGAAGAAGGATCCCAACTCCTGTTTCTTTGAGGGGCAGCACCGGGCACACGGCACCCGCTGGGCACCCGACTATGACAAGAAGTGCTCAATCTGCAGCTGCCAGGTACAGGCTGGGGGGGGGGAAGATGAGGGGCAGCACCTGTAAGCGCTGCCCCCCTGTAACAAGCCTCATACCTGCTGCCCCCAGAAGCGCACGGTGATCTGTGACCCCATCCTGTGCCAGCCCCTCAACTGCACCCACCAGGTTCACCCCGAGGAGCTCTGCTGCCCTGTCTGTGAAGGTACCTGGCGGTAGGGGGGGTCCCGGGTGGGTTACCCATGGGTGCAAGGTAGGGGTGTCCCTCTCTGAGTCTCTGCACCCCCTCATGGCCTCTCTTTTTCTTGCAGAGAAGAAGATGGGGCAGGAGGAGCTCAAGCTGGAGCGGGCACGGGACAGTAGTGAGGGTGAGTCCCCGTGGGCATGGGCTGAGAGTGCAGCCCCCGGGCCTCCCTAGCACCTCTACTCCCTCCCCTCCTCCTCCTCTCCAGGCTGCTACTTCGATGGGGACAAGACATGGCGAGGCTCTGGCACCCGCTGGCACCCTGTCGTGCCCCCCTTTGGCCTCATCAAATGTGCCATTTGCACCTGCAAAGTGAGTGTGGGTCCTAGTGTCCCCCCCACCCCGGTTTCGCAGCAGAGCTGCCCTGGCACCCACGGTGGCTGCCCTGAGCTGCCAGGCACTGTAGCCGGGGCTCAAACCAGGGGGAGCAGGGGACCGACTGCCCGGTGAGCCCCCCACACTCCCCACAGGGCACCACAGGCGAAGTGCACTGCGAGAAAGTGCAGTGCCCACGGCTCACCTGTGCCAACCCTGTGCGTGCCAGCCCCTCCGACTGCTGCAAGCAGTGCCCAGGTACCTGCACCCCTCCCCTCCTGCCCTCAGCTCCCCTGGCACAGCCCCTGCACCTCCCCACAATGCTGCCGGCGATGCTGCAGGGTGCCCCTGCCAGGTGCCTGCCCCCTCCCAGCGCCCTTTCCTGCAGCCCCTGAGAAGAGTGTCCCCGAGCTGGCAGACACCATGCAGGCAGACGGGCCCCGGGCATGCCGCTTCGGGCGCCGCTGGTACCTCAACAATGAGAGCTGGCACCCCTCCGTGCCCCCCTTCGGAGAAATGAAGTGTATCTTGTGTTGGTGTGTGGTGAGTGTGCCAGGCCTTGGGCAGCACCAGGGGAAGGAGAAGGTGCTTTGGGGACGGGTGGGACAGCAGCCCAGGGTGGCACCCTGGGGATTCACTGCACCCTGGGGAGCTGCCAGCCCCCCACCCCCCCAAGCTCAGCCCCTCTTTCTGCCCCACAGTCGGGGGAGACGCACTGCCAGCGCCAGGAGTGTCCCCCAGCCGCCTGTGCCAGCCCTGCCAGGAGGGACAACCCCTGCTGTGCCAAGTGCCGGGGTGAGTGCACTGCTCCCCCAAACACCCTGTGCACCTCCCTGGCCCCCTTGGGTGCTGAGCCAGGGCTGGGACCAACCCCAGCGCCCTCCTGGCACCCACCATGACCGTGTCTCAGCCCCACTTTTCCCCCCCACCTGCAGCTCCGGATGCCCCCCTGGATGCACGGGAGAAGGTCCACGATGCCAGGGCGGAGGCGTGGAGCCGCTGAGCACTGACTGCTGCCCGGAGCGGGGCAAGCGCGCAGCGAGGCCGGGTGGCCATGAGGGTGTCCCCGCCGCCCATCACCCCCCCCGTGCAGGGCAGGGGGGCACAGAGGAGCACGGCGGGGTGTGAGCACAGCCAGGCACCCAGCCTGGGCTCCCCACCTCGGCTCGGCCGCGATGCCGGGGCTGCCCTGCCCGCTCGTGCCAGCGGGCAGCAGCTGGGCTGGCGGAGGCCAGGGCACCCACTGCCCTCCCACTCCGAGCCCCCCGGGGCTGGCGGGTGCAACAGGCGTCACACCTTCCCCCACGCCCCCTCACCTTGTACATAGTGTAAAATCCTTCCGCCCCCCCGTCTCAGCCGGGCTCGTCACATAATTTATGGTGCCCGTGGATGGGGGTCCCAGTGTATTTATTAAAACCAGAGCTATTGCCCACCCCTCTCCCTGTGCTCCAGTGGGATTTGCAGGCCCTGGCCTTTCTGGGTTTGGGCGTGTGTATGCTGGGGGGGGTGGGGTGCTTTTGGGGGTACAGGGCCTGGGAGCCAGTGCCAGGTTGGGGAGTGGTGCTTGTAAGGTGTCGCTGTCCCCTACGTGTCCACAGTGGCAGCAGCACCCAGAGGAAGGTGAGGGGCTGGGTGTGCCACGTGGCCACGTGCTCTGGAGCAGCGGTCCTCCAGTCACCCCACTACAGCTGCACTGGACTAAGGTTTTCTGGGGCCCTTGGGAGCCCTGGTGCTGCCACCTGCCCTTTGGTCCCCAAGGTAGGGGAGTGAGACACCTCTGGGGACACCACTGTGTTGTGCTGGGATACACTGGGGTGGCCGGGACAGCACTAAAACTGTACTGGAACAGTGCCAGAGCTGTAAGGCAAGTTACACTGGGCTCCACTGGGACAGGGCTGAGGCACGCTGGCACAACACCACCATAGTGGGATTGTGCTAGCCTATACTGGGGCTGTACCAGAGGTGACACGGGACTAGACTGGAGTAGTGGTAGGGCAATAGGAGGAAGGCACTGGGGCACACTGGACTGGCACAGAGCCCTGGGTGCTGAGCTGGGTGTCCTGCCCTCTGCGTGGCCAGGGCCACGTGGGTGCCGTTGGCAGCACCCATGGTGGCCTTACAACATACTGGTGGCCCACAACTGGGCACGCTGGTGGCAGCGGGCAGAGCGTGTGTCCTGGCACGGGGACTGCCCCTCCGGATGAGCGTCCCGGCTGCCGTGGGGCAGTGCCAGGAGCTGACGAGCAACGAGGAAGCTCCGTGCCCGGGGACACAACGAGCAGGCAGCCCGTTTTGTCACCTCCCTGCCGCAAACCGGTTCATGTCCGGCGATGAACCTTCCCAAGCTGGCGCAGGGCATATCCCAGCCCCCAACTTGGCCATCATCTCCCACCCTTGGGGGTGCCAACGTCAAATCGGAGGGTGGCACCCGGGTGGCGAGAACTAGCCCTATCCCGGTGCCGCAGCCCCAGCCCGGCAGTGCCACGGCTCCGTCCTGCCTTGCACCCAGTTCTTGCTACGAAGGCGCCGTGCGGTGCCCCGGGGAGGAGGGCGAGCTCAGCTGCCTCTGAGCCCGCGGCGACGGTGAGACGGAGGTCCCGGCAGCCAGCCTGCCATGCCGGAGCGCCTTGCCCGAGGATGGTGGGTGCCAAAAGGTGCCCGTGTGCCCCTCCGGAGAGGGCTGAGCTGCCGCCGCTCAGCGGGTTCAGCAGCAAAGAGCGGAGCCCACCGGCCTCCCCCGGGGCTGGCAGTCCCGGGATGCTGAGCGGCACCACGGTAAGGACAAGCTCCCTGCCAGCTTTGGGGTACCTCTGGTGAGCTCCCACAGTGCTGAGGTGCGCTGCCACACGTGGACATCCACGGGTGCCTCTGTACCCTCGATGCCAAGACCTCAGGCCCTCTGCCCCTCTCCCCCATCCCTCCCAAAATTGACCCCCAGCCAAGCATGGCGGTGAGCCTGGGGGCTGGCTGCCTGCGGTGCTTCCCTGCCCACACCCCACGGGGGAGAAACCACGGGGAAGGAGGGACCTGTAGCAGTCCCAGCCCCTCCGTGGGAAGAGAGAGCAAAGCGTCCCCGCAGGGGGGGTCACCCCACGCCAGCTTTTACCCCCACACACACGCACACCTGCACCCACCGGCTGCTCACGGGTGCCATCCTCAGCCGGGAAACAAAGCCCACGGGTGGAAGGGATCCCCGCTGCCGGGCAGAGCCCCCCGGCCGGGCACCCTGGGTGCAGCGCCGGGTGCTGGGCGCTGGCTGCCGGTGCCGGGCGCTGCCGGCGGAGGCGGAGCGCGGCCGGTCCCTCCCCCGGGCAGTGCCCCGGGCCCGCCCCGCACGGCCCGGGAGGAGCCGCCGCGGGCACCGGCACCGGCACCGGCACCGGCACCGGCACCGGCACCGGCACGGCCAGGAGCGGCGGCAGCGGCGGCACCATGGCCTCCGAGAGCGAAGCGCAGCGAGCGCTGCAGTATGAGCAGACCCTGGTGAGTGCGGCCAGCACCGGGGTACCGGGGAGGGAGGGGGGCACCGGCGAAGTGGGGTCACGGCGGGGCACGCCTTGGGGGGAGATTGGGCAGTTTGGGGGTGCTGCCCCGCTGAGGGTGAGCTCCGCGGGGCCCGGTTTGGGGTGCCGTCTGCCGGCGGGGCAGGGGGGGCAGAGGGAGGGGGTGTCACCCCGCAGCCCCCTCGGTGGTGGAAGAGCCCAAGTGAGCCGCCCGTGCTCAGGGCAGGACTTTTTCATACACCTCATCTCCCTGCCAAAACCCCTCATGACTGCGGGGGAGGGGTGATGCCCACCCTGTGGGGGCTCCCAGAGGCACCGCCCGAGCACCCTTCACCCCACGGCGCCGTCTGTCCCCAGCCCTCTGGCCCCAAGATAGCATATCTCCCCCGCCTGCAACCTTAGCCCCATGTTTACAACTCCGTCGCCTCCAAGGCCTCTCAGCTGGCACCCAGGTGCCCGGCTGTCCCGGGGGTGTCGTCCCTCCCTGTCGTGCCCCCAGCACCTCCGCTGCCCACAGTCCTCGGACATCCTGGGCAAAGGTGCTTCTCCCTGGTCTCCGCTTGGGACGGTGCCTGGGGCAGCTCAGCAAACGGGTACTTTGCCCTGGCAAAGGCATTCAGACGGGCAGGGAAGCAGGGGCTGAGCCACTGCAGGGTACCTGTGCCCACAGATGCCTGAGTTTGCCAAGAGCCTGAGCCGGTTGTTGCGAGTGGGGCCAACCCCGCTGAGGCTTACCCTCTCCCCCCCCCAGCACATGGGCACGGGGCAGCATCAAGGCACTGCTGCGCCATGCACCCTCTGTATCGTCTTTCCAAGCACCCAAAGCTCCCGTTTGGGGGGTTGCCCCTCAGTGCCCACCCCAAGCCACCCTTTTCCCATCACAGTTGTGTGGCTGCTGGGCACTGGCCGGTCATGGGAGCCCCGGCTCTGCCGGCGTCTCCATGATCTTATCGGCCCCGTGGTGCCTTCCCAGCAGGGCTGAGCCTGGGGCACAAGCAGGGGTGCGCAGCACCGGCTGGTGCGAGCTGTGGGGGTGCCTCTTCCCCCCCCCCTCTGCCCAGCACCAGACTGTCCCCCTCAGTGCTGTGTCTGTGGAGGGTGGGCAGAGAGGCCAGCCCAGCCGGGCACCGTGGGGAAGGGGGGGCTGCGGGCAGCACGGGAGGGGATGGGCACGCTGGGCTGGCATTGGGGCAGCCTTGCATGGCGCAGCAGACTTTGCCCTCCTTTCCTCCGGGCGGGGAAGCACCCATGCTCTGGGCGCCTCAAGATGCCCATCCCCATAGCCTCTGGGCTGCAGTGAGGCTCACGAAACCACCTGGGGCTCGTGGGTGAGGCTGGGTGCAGGCTTTTGTCCCACAGCCTCACGTCTGGCTTTAGGGAGCTGTCTGGGCGCATGCCGGTTGGCGGGGGGGTGCCCAGCCCTCCCCAGTGCAGCTGAGCCACCACCAGCTCCTGGCGGCACCTGCCAGGAGGGTCAGGATCCAGCCAGAGCCTGGCACGGGCTGGTCTGAGCTGGACAGCCCTGGGGACAGCTCTTGCTGCCTGTGCCCACAGCCGGGACATCACAGCCCAAAGAGCCCCATGTCCTTACTCCCCCGCCCCATATTTCACCAGCCCTGGGGTGCCATGGCCATGGCGTCACTGGGGGCTGGCACAACCCTCCCTGGGGACCCCGTGCTGGGTGGGTGCCCCTGGCCGTGCCGAGGGTGCTGGGGTGCCTGCCAGCCCCGGTGCCCCCCGCATGCCAGGCTGCCGTGGTGGGGAGCAAAGGCGCCCTGGGGGGAGTGGGGGGATTAAGTCTGACAAACTGCCCTTGTTCACCGCGGAGCCGCTCAGGGCGATTAGAGCCTGGCTAAGACAAGCAGCGTGACACACACCCCCCAGCTTCTGCCTGCCCGCTGCCAGCCCAGGGGGCTCCCCTGCCTTTCAATATCCTGGTCTGGGGGGGAAGGCTGGCCGGCATCGGCCGTGCGGAGGTGGGCACCGCTGCCAGGAGAGCTCGGCGCTATGGGACAGGGTGGCACGGGGACACGGCAGCGCCAGATGCCAGCGCCTGCCCCAGGCGCAGCATCGCCCGGGTGCAGCGGGCACTGTGGGCTGGCACTGCCCGGGGGTCTGCGGCACGGCCGGTGCCCGCAGCGCAGGAGTCCGGGACTGCCACAGTGGCCTCAGCCTGTGCCCGTGTCCCCAGGTGCCCCCCCCAGATCCCCCCCCGGCCCCGTGCCTGCTCCCTGCCCGCCCGGCACTGTGATTGTTCAGCTGCTTCGCGGCGGAGGCCGGAGTCCCGGGGCTGTTTGTGTTTCAAAAGGCCTTTGTGGAAAAATAACCCGAGTGGGAGGAGGATGAGGAGGAGGAGGAGGAGGAGGAGGAAGGAGAGAGCCCACCACTGGCCTTCACTGCGGCCCCACGGCTGTGCCAGGACTGCAGGCACAGCGGTTTTGGCTGTCCAGCACGGGGCACCCCCAGGGTCCCACGTCCTGCCTGTGGGACCATGGTACAGGGCAGAGGGGTGGCACAGCGTGACGGGATGGCATGGGGCAGCAGGTGACAGCGGGGCGGCACAGCCCCTTCGCTTGCACCCCTGTTGTTGCAAGTGGGCTTGTTTGCAAATGGGGGGCAGAGGGGGACCAAAATCCTCCCATTCCCCTCCCCAACCAGTCTGGATCCTCTAGGGATGGGTATCCTGCCGGGTGCCCCAACACCCGGGGGGGCAGCGTGGCAGTCCCTGGCAGGGCCTCAGGAGGTGGGCAAGGGGCTGGTTCAGGGGGCACTCGGCCTGGGGGTGCTGCAGTCCCGGCTGGGGCCGGTGGTGAGGCAGCAGCAGGGCTGGAGGAGGCGAGCGCTTGGCAGGGGGACAGCGCTCCTTGGGGTGCCAGCCCGTTTTGTTTTCCAGAGGAAACAAGCTTCACCCGAAGGGAGCCTTTGAACGCAGGGCCCCGTGCAGGGCCGGGGTCCTCCTCTGGCAGCCGAGGCTGGATCCGGCCACCCGGGGTGGCCACGCCGGCATCTCCGCCCGGCTTGTGCCTTTCCCCCCCGGCACATTTCCATAGGGCAAGGAGCCGCTGAGTGCATGCTGAGCAGGAGTTTGGGGGCAAATCTGTGCCAGGAAGGGGTCAGCAAAGGAACTGAATGTGCCTCCCCCCGCCCCCCTCGCCTGCCTCCTCACCCTGCCTCCTGCTGCTGAGCACAACCTGGGTATTAGACAGCAGAGAATCCACCCGGCGCCGCTCTGGCTGCTTTCTGCTGCCTGCCAAAGGGAAGGGACCTGTGCAGGAGCGATGCCCCGTGAGAAATGCACCTCCACGCTGTCCCCCCCAGGGCGCTGGCAGGTGCCAGCAGGCCGGGGTATGGGGTGTGCAGGGGGACGCAGGTGCCCGGGGTGGGCGCCGGCAGCCAGGGCTGGGCTGCCCACGTGCCAAGCGGGGTGCCCACCCGTGGTGTTGCCCCTCCGCCGGGCGCCGGCACGGGCCGTGCCGGGGAGGAGGGCGGCTGCGCCCCGGCTGGGCGGCCACGCGCTGCGCTGGCACGGCACGGCGAGTGGGCACGCCATCATCATGGGGCTCACGTCGCCCCGACGTGGGAGCCTGGCAGGGCCCCCGCGGCCCTGAAGCCTCCCTTTGTGCCGGGCCAATCTCTGGCACTTGGCATTCAGGTCGTGCCGGGGGGAGTGAGGCGGAAACCAAGCAACCGAGTCCTTGGCAGTGCCCGCCAGCGCGGGACAAATGCCCCCGGCTCGGCGGGGAGGACGCGCACAAAGAACTCCTGGCCGGCACAGGGGGCACTGCCAGGGCCCCCCCACTGCCAGGGCCAGGCCACGTGCCACGGTCAGGCAGGAGGCACCCGAGGAGGAGGGGGTACCCCTTGTGTGGGCATGGAGCCACTCACAGCCTCTTGCTCCCCAAACACCCTCCTCACAGCCCAGGGGTCACCCCGTGCCCGATGCTCTGCCCCACCCCAAACCCCTGGGACGAGGGATGTGCCCTGTCCCCCCACTGCCCTCTTGCCTCCCTGCTGCCAGCTGAGACCGGCCAGCTCATGTCACATGTGGCCTGCCGAGGCTGCCTCCCTGGGGGGCATCCCAGCCCTGACTTTGGCGATGCTGAGGGCAGGCGGCTGCAGAGCGCCAGCACAACCCCAATACCAGCCCTCAGAGAGTCTCTCCCAGCCAGGCTGGTCATGCATCCATTGGCAGAGGCCCTTCTCCATCCTCTGCCAGTCCAGCCCAGTGCCTGGGGCACCCGGGCAGGGCTGGGGACTGGTACCAGTGGTGCCAGCTGCCTGCGTTGGGTGCATGGGCAAAACGATCACCACCGAGCCCCTCGCACCTTCCCACGCCCCAGCGGGCAGCCCAGCACCCCCAGCAGCACCCCCACCCCTTCCCCTGGGGGTGCCGTGGCTGCCTGTCCCCTCACCTGGCACCCCCCGGTGCTGGGAGGCCATGCCAGTGTGCCTACTGCTCCCCTGCCTCAGTTTCCCCACTTGCGTGGGGGAGCTGGGGTGCCAGCCCCACCTCGTGACACACCCCCCCCCATCCGCTCCTTCTCCCCCAGATGTATGGGCGCTACACGCAGGAATTGGGCACCTTCGCCAAGGACGAGGCGGCCCGGCTGCGGCTGCAGCAGGGGCACGGGGAGGGGGACACCCTCCGGGCCCGCCGCCCCTCCGAGCTGCTGGAGTACACCCAGGGCCGCTGTACCCCCTGCCGCGGTAAGGGCCACCGGGGATAAGGACACGGTGGGGGGGGGACACACACAAGTGAGCACAGCCCCACAGCAGCACCTGGTCCGGGCACGGCTGCCCACCCTGCCAAGGCGGCGGTGGCTAAGGTTTCTCTGGCTGTTACGGGACACCGGCGCCGAGGACAATGCCACCTGCCCGCCGGGCAGCGGGGACACAATGGCCCAAAATAGCCGGGCACGCCGCAGGGACCTGGGGGGCCCCAGCCCCTCTGCCTGGGGCTGTGCCAGCGGGGCTGTGCTGGTGGGAGGTGCACGCCCGGCAGCGCCGTGCGCGGCTGTGCACAGCCGGAGCCTGCCGGTGGTTGCGGCATGGCTGTTTCTGCTGGGTAAGGTGGTGCTCCTGCACCGGGTGGTGCTGGGCCCGTGCCCCCCGCTTGTGTCCCTGCCAGCCTGGCCCTGCCACCCCGGTGTGCCCATCCCCGGGGCGCCCGGCCCTGAGCCTGCCCTTGTGCCCGCAGTTTGCGCCTTGCAGTGCCGGCGGTTCTTCATCTCCAAGGTGGGCGAGGACTGGGTCTTCCTCATCCTCCTGGGGTTGGTCATGGCGCTGGTCAGTTGGGCCATGGACTTCGCCATCGCCACCTGCCTCCAAGGTGAGTGGGCGCTGGTGGGCTCCCGGGGCCGTGGTGGGGCGTGGGGTGGTCATGCCATGCCCCCCTTGCCACCCGTGACCCACCTGGATGGCTGTGCCCACAGCCCAGAAGTGGATGTACGGGGGCCTGGACACCAACGTGCTGCTGCAATACCTGGCCTGGGTCACCTACCCTACCGTGCTCATCACCTTCTCGGCTGGCTTCACCCAGATCCTCGCCCCTCAGGCCGTGGGTAGGGCACAAGGGGGGGCGGCCTGCACCCTAACAGGGTGTCCCTTCCCTGGGGCTGTGGGCTGGCAGCAGCCTGGGTGCCCTCCTGGGCTATGGGGTTGGGGGTCCAGTCCTGGAGGTCTTCAAAGGACTGTGGATTGATCTTCAGAGGGTCTCCTGTGAGTTAAGGGGTGGATGTCCTCCTGGGCTATGGGACTAGGGGTCTCGGAGGTCTTCTGAGGGCTACGGGCTGGTCTTCAGAGGGTCTCCTGGGGGCTATGGGATTGGGGTCTCCACATGACTATGGGCTGAGCTCTCCCTACATGGCCATGGGGGCTGTTCCTGCCAACTGTACTGTGGGGAGAGGTGTCTCTGCGGTTTCCCCTATGGCAGTGGGATGTGGCAGAGTGTCAAAGACTCCCCCCTCCCCCCCCCCCCCCAACTATGGGGCAGTGTCCCCACTCCATGGCCATGGGTCAGGGCTGTCCCTGCGGTGCCAGGCTCGGGGATCCCTGAGATGAAGACCATCCTGCGGGGCGTCGTGCTGAAGGAGTACCTCACCCTCAAGACCTTCGTGGCCAAGGTGATCGGACTGACGTGCGCCCTGGGCAGCGGCATGCCCTTGGGCAAGGAGGTGAGGGCAGCGCCCAGGGCAGGGCGGGCAGAGGGCTGGCGGGGGGGCACGGACACTGTCCTCAGCCACCTTGCTGTCCCTGCAGGGTCCCTTTGTCCACATCGCCAGCATGTGCGCAGCCCTGCTCAGCCGCTTCCTCTCCCTCTTCGGGGGCATCTACGAGGTGAGCATGGCAGTCTGACCCTGGGGGGGCTCCACCTGTGACCTCCGGCAGGTTTGGCAGCACCCAGGGTGGGGGGGTTCAGTGCCTGCTCACCCCCCCCCCCCGGCTTGCCCACAGAACGAGTCGAGGAACATCGAAATGCTGGCGGCTGCCTGCGCCGTCGGTGTCGGCTGCTGCTTCGCCGCCCCCATCGGAGGTAGGGTCACCCCGGCTCCCCCCCCCCCGCACCCCCACGCACCCACCCGGCGAGGCGAGCAGGCCCCCCAGGACGGCTGGCATGGGAGAGGGCAGTGCCGCTCGGCAGGGAGGAGGAAGGGGGGGAGCGGGCACCGTCCTCCCAGAGGTGTAATGTCTGCTCTCGTCCTCTCCCCTGCCGCCCTGCGCTCCAGGGAGCTCCCCGCTCCGGCCCCGCTGAGCCCTGCCCGTAGGTTGGTGACGTGTCTAACTCTTTCCGTGCCCTCTGCCTGCTGTGCTGCCCCGTCCGCCTGTCCATCCGTCTGCGTGCACCCCTCCCCCCCGCCCTCCCAGCGCCACCCGCCGTGCCATTGCTCACGTCCCCGCACTACCCTCTCGCTCACACCGACCGCCGCTCCGCCGTGCCCAGCCAGAGACCGGCGGTGTGCTTTGCCAGGGAAGCCCTTGAACTGCCCCACAGCGTGTCCGTGGGGACGGCCGGACCCCCGTGGGCCGTGCACGAGTGTGGGCTCGGGGCAGGAAGCATGCCAGGCGCTGGGGGCCCACCTGGGTTTCGCCGCCTCCCTCGTGTGCTTCCCCCCCGGTTGCAGGCGTCCTCTTCAGCATCGAGGTCACCTCCACCTTCTTCGCCGTCCGCAACTACTGGCGCGGCTTCTTCGCCGCCACCTTCAGCGCCTTCATCTTCCGCGTCCTCGCTGTCTGGAACAAGGACGAAGGTACTTCCAGCAGGGTGGGGGACACAGGGGGAGTCCCCCCGCCCAGCCCCACTGACCCTTGCTGTCCCCCAGAGACAATCACAGCGCTGTTCAAAACCCGCTTCCGCCTCGACTTCCCCTTCGACCTGCAGGAGCTGCCCGCCTTCGCCGTCATCGGGTGAGTGCAGCCACCTCGGCACCTACCCCATGGCTCCAAGGTGGAAACGGTGGAGATGGTGGTGATGGTCCCGTCCCATGGCCCCGGGGGGGGGCAGTGGTGGTGATGCTGGTGGCAGCGGTGGCAGGCGGACATGCGGGGTGCTCGCCCTTTGCCTCTGCCCAGGATCGCCAGTGGCTTCGGGGGCGCGCTCTTCGTCTACCTCAACCGCAAGATCGTGCAGTTCATGCGTCGCCAGAAGACCATCAACCGCTTCCTCATGAAGAAGTAGGTGCCTGGCGGTCCCCGGCAACAGGGCAGTGGAGCCAGGGCTGCACCGACGTCACCCCCTGCCCCGTGCCACCCCATCAGGCGCCTGCTCTTCCCTGCCCTGGTGACGCTGCTCATCTCCACGCTGACCTTCCCGCCCGGCTTCGGACAGTTCATGGCCGGCCAGGTACATGCCGTGGGGTGGGGTGGCACAGCGGTTCCCACCCCAGGGCCACCGCCAGCCCCAGCTGACCGCTGCCCACCACCAGCTCACCCAGAAGGACACCCTGGTGACACTCTTCGACAACCAGACGTGGGCCAAGCAGGGGCTCAGCGACGAGTTTGAATACTTGGGCATCCTGGAGGCCTGGCGCCACCCGCGCTCCAACGTCTTCGTCACCCTTGTCGTCTTCATCCTGATGAAGGCGAGTGCCTCCTGCCCTGCTCTGGGAAGGGGCTCCTGGGTGTCACCAGGGAGTTGCCGGATGGCTGCCAGCAAGGTGGCACCAGGAGGCACTGGGGGGATGCTCCCAAAGGCCACCAAGGTGTTGGTTGGGTGCTGCCGTCAAAGAGATCTTGGCTGGGAGCTGCCGAGGTGCCACCAAGGAGGTGCTGGCAGGGTGCCCCCCTGGGAGGAGCGGGGCTGCCCCACGGCATGGTTCCCACGTGCTGCGTCACAGCAGCTGGCTGCGGGGCACAGCAGGGGCAGGAGGCAGGGCTGAGCTTGGGGTGGAGGGGACAACTAACAAGTGCCTGCATCCCCCACGCAGTTCTGGATGTCAGCCCTGGCCACCACCATCCCAGTGCCCTGCGGAGCCTTCATGCCTGTCTTCGTCATCGGTGAGAGCCCATACCCCATGCGGGTGTCCCCAGGTGTCCCCTTCCCTGGCAGAGGAGAGGGGGCGCGGGGCTGGGCTGGGTGCCGGGGAGCCCCCGTGTTCCCTGCCAGCCCCTCTCTGTGGGCAGGGGCAGCCTTTGGACGCCTGGTGGGGGAGAGCATGGCAGCCTGGTTCCCCGACGGCATCCACACCGACAGCAACACCTACCGCATTGTGCCGGGGGGCTACGCCGTGGTGGGTAAGCACTGGCCTGGCACAGGGACACCGCAGTGGGCGTCACTTGGAGATGCTCCAAAGGAGCCGGTGGGTTCCCCAGGGCTGGGGTGGTGTCCCCAGGGGCTTGGGGGGTGACACCACCACTGGGGATGTCCCCGGGAGGTCCCAAGGGCTGCGGGGTGTGGTGGATGCCCCAGGGAGGGAGACCCAGCCTGGGCAGGCAGCACCTGACAGCCACCCCGTGTCTCCCGGGGATGGGCACAGGGGCGGCCGCACTGTCAGGCGCCGTCACCCACACGGTGTCCACGGCCGTCATCGTCTTCGAGCTGACGGGGCAGATCTCACACATCCTGCCCGTTATGATCGCCGTCATCCTGGCCAACGCCGTGGCCCAGAGCCTCCAGCCCTCCCTCTACGACAGCATCATCCGCATCAAGAAGCTGCCCTACCTCCCCGAGCTGGGCTGGGGCCACCACGAGTGAGTGTGTGTGCCCTGCCCTGTCCCCAAGCCCCTCACCAGGCACAAGGGGAGGGGGTGGCATCACTCTGAGGCCACCCTTACCCTCCCCGGGCAGGAAATACAACGTGCGGGTGGAGGACATCATGGTGCGGGACATCCGTTACGTCACCCTCAACTGCAAGTACCGGGACCTGCAGCACGTCCTGCACAGCACCAAGATGAAGAGCCTGCCGCTGGTGGAGTCGGCCGGTGAGACGCGGGCAGGGGGCGACGCCGGCGCCCGCCCCGGCGGTGGGTTGTGCCGGGGTGGCCCGGGGAGGGGGCGGCGAAGGGGGGTGTCGGGAGCCAACGCTGCCCCTCGCTGCCGCCGGCAGAGTCCATGATCCTGCTGGGCTCCATCGAGCGGGCGCAGGTGGGGGCCCTGCTCAGCCACCAGCTCAGCCCCCAGCGCCGGCTCCAGGCCCTGCGGCAGAAGGCGCTGGCCAACGACGGGCACCCGCTCGCCGACACCAGCATCCGCTTCCAGGTGAGGGGGGGGCGGACGCTCCAGGGGGATGCCCGGCCAGGGTCTCCCCCCCCCCCCCCGCCCGCCGCTCTTCCCCCACCACCACGCCGTCCGCCCCCCCAGATCAGCACGGAGGCCTCCTCGGGCACCCCTGCCCGCGCTGCCCCCCGCAAACCCCTGAAGCCGGCGCTGAAGCGGGCGCCCAGCAGCCTGGCCGAGACCCCCCCGGGTGAGTCTGCACACGGCCCCTCCGGCCCCCCCTGCGCCCCCGCTGACACCCCCTCCCTGCCCGCAGCTGGGACTGCCGACCACACCGGCATCGCCCTCAAGAGCCTCTTCTGTGCCAACACCACCGCAGAGCCCACCGAGGTGAGTGCCTGGCCCTGAACAGCCCTGACCAGCCCTGACCAGACTACCCCTGCCCATCCCTGTCCACCCCTGCCCATCCCTGCCTGGCCCTGCCCATCCCTGCCCATCCCTGTCCATCCCTGCCCATCCCAGTCCATCCCTGTCCATCCCTGCCCATCCCTCCCTGGCCCTGCCCATCCCTGCCCATCCCTGTCCATCCCTGCCCAACCCTGCCCATCCCTGTCCATCCCTGCCCATCCCTGCCCATCCCTGTCCATCCCTGCCCATCCCTGTCCATCCCTGCCCATCCCTGCCCATCCCTGTCCATCCCTGTCCACCCCTGCCCATCCCTCCCTGGCCCTGCCCATCCCTGTCCATCCCTGCCCATCCCTGCCCATCCCTGTCCATCCCTGTCCATCCCTGCCCATCCCTGTCCATCCCTGCCCATCCCAGTCCATCCCTGTCCATCCCTGCCCATCCCTCCCTGGCCCTGCCCATCCCTGCCCATCCCTGCCCATCCCTGCCCATCCCTGTCCATCCCTGCCCATCCCTGTCCATCCCTGCCCATCCCTGCCCATCCCTGTCCATCCCTGCCCAACCCTGTCCATCCCTGTCCATCCCTGCCCATCCCTGTCCATCCCTGCCCATCCCTGCCTGGCCCTGCCCATCCTGGCCCTTTCTACCCCCCTGCCATCCTTTCCCATCACTCCCATCACTTTTGCATCCCTGCCCACCCCTGCCCATCCGTTCTCACCCCTGACCACCTCTGCCCATTCCCGTCCCACCCCTTTCCCTCCCTGCTCAACGCTGCCTGTCCTTTGCCGCCCTCTCCCCTCCCGTCCCTGCCCGTGCCACCACCACGCCGGGCCCTAACGCCGCTGTCTCTCCCCGCGTGGTGCCAGGCCCAGGGCACGGCCTATCGCAAGGCCAAACACGTCCGCATTTCCATCGTGGTAAGCCGCAGCCAATCACAGGCTGGGAACAGCTCCTCTCAGCCAATCGGAGCCCAGCATGAATTCTCTGAACCAATCAGGGGCCTGGCAAGATTCTGCTTGGCCAATCATGTTCGGCCTGTGTCCGTGCAGCCAATCTCAGACTGTCGCGATTCTGCTCAGCCAATCACGGTGTGCGTCCTCCCAGTCCCACACCTTCCTCGGCCAATCACAGCCGTGGGAATTTCCCCCCCCACACACACACACTTTGCTCAGCCAATCACAGCACAGCCTGCTTGTCCACCAATCACAAGCCTGGCTTGTCCTACCTTGGCCAATCGTGGCGTGACCTGTTGCCCTCTCAACCAATCGTGTTACCCGACTGGCGCCCCGCCTTCCACCTGCCCCTGCGCTGCCTGCGCCCTGCCTGCCCGCCCCCTCCGCACTCCCTGCCTGCTCCCTGCCTGCGCCTGCTGCCTGCAGCCTCGCTGCCCCCCGCCCGCTCCCTGCCTGTGCCCCGCCCGTGCCCCGCCCGTGCCCCGCCCGCGCCCCGCCCGCGCCCCGCCCGCGCCCCGCCCGCTCCCTGCCTGCAGCCCTGCCAGCCTGCTCACGCTCGCCCTTTCCGCAGGAGGAGCTGGACCCGGGTGACAGGATGACCCCGGCAGAGGTGAGGGGGTGGGCAGGGGCAGGCGGGACCCTCCTGCCTGCAGGGACCCAGGAAGGGGTGCCAAGGCGTGAGGCGGGTGGGGGGTGATGGGCAACCCCAATGTCCCCGTAACTGTGGGTGCAGGGAGGCGGGAGGGGTGTGTGTGTGTGTGTGTGTGTGTGTGTGTGTGTGGTGGTGGTGTTGCTGGCACCCTGGGTGGGGTGGCCGTACCCCCCTCACCCCGCCCCATGGCATCCCCCCCTGCCAGATCCTGGAGTGGGAAGAGCAGCAGCTGGACCAGCTGGTGGACTTCAGCAGCGCCAAAATCGACCCCGCGCCCTTCCAGCTGGTGGAGCACACCTCCCTGCACAAGGTGAGCCTGCACCCCACCCACCCCCCCCCCAACCGACCCCCCCCCCAGACCCCTAACTCAGCCCCCCTCTTCCTGCAGACACACACCATCTTCTCGCTGCTGGGCCTGGAGCACGCGTATGTCACCAGCATCGGGCGCTTGGTGGGCATGGTGTCCCTCAAGGAGGTGAGAGGTGGGGGCGGTGGGGTTGGAGGTGGTGGTGGGGGGGGGGGGGCCCACCCGAAGCCGCCGGCCCATGGTTTTGGGGTGCCTGCAGCTGCGCAAGGCCATCGAGGGCTCGCTGACGGCCAAGGGGGTGAAGGTGCGCCCGCCGCTCGCCAGCTTCCGCGACAGCACTGCCAGCGCCGGCGAGCCCGACACCACCGCCCTGCACCAGCTCTGGGACCGCCACCAGCACCACCCCATGCCCCGCGAGGCCGGTCCCGGGGCCGACGACGACGATGACGACACCCCCAAGGGCCAGTGAGATGGGGTCCCCCCCACCACGGCCCACCTTTCCCCCCCCAGGTGCCGCAGGGACCCCCCCCTTCCCCACCCCCGGCGGGTGCCGGGGGATGCCCGCTCTGTGCCCTCGCAGGGGGGTGGGCACCCTCAATCCAGTGCCGCTGCCCCTTCCCTGTGCCGGGGGGCTGGCCAGGTGCCCCCCCCCCCCCAGCCTGCCCACGGCCCCCACCTCCCTGCCAGCTCTTGGGGCTTCCCACTTCGCTACCTCTGCTCCCCCCCACTACAGCTCCCAGTGCCCCCCAGCATTGCCATCACCCTCACCCCCCCCACCCCACCGGCACCACAGTGGCACTGCTTGGGGTGGCACGGGGGGGGGTGGAGGGGTGTCAGGTCGGGGTAGGCACTGCCCCCCCCCCCCCCCCCCCATGGCTGAGAACCACCTCTCCACTATGCACCCCTCCCCGTGTAAATACAGAGATTTTTATATTAATTTAATAAAATGACTTTATAAACAGAGCCGGACCACAGAAGGGCTTGGAAGGTGGGGAAGGGGCACGGCCAGCGGGCACCGGCCGAGCCTCGCCACGGCACCGGGGTTGGCGTCAGTCGGGGCAAGGAGCGTTTCCCCCGTGGGTGCCGGCTCAGAGCATGGCCTCGCTGCGGTACAGCCGCTGCGGGGGCTCGCCGGGGCGGGCGCCGGGGCGGCGGCGGGCGGTGATGACCAGCGTGCCGGCCTCGGTGAGGGCACAGCTCACCGACAGCGGGTCCGTGTCCTCGGGCAGGCGGCACTTGTGGGCGAAGGTGTCGCAGACGGTGCCGTCCTCGGCCACCTGCGAGGGAGGCCGTGCCGGCGTGGCCGGGGCACGGCGTGGCGTGGCAGGGTGGGACACAGCACACGCCCAGTTACACCCGTGCTAGGGGTAGGGCAGCTCCCAGTCACCCCGGCTCCAGCAGGGAGCTCAGCAGGGCAGATCCCAGTTACCCAGTGATTCAGGGGCAATTCCCAGTTACGCCAGTGCCAGCGGGAAGCAGCGCTGAGTTGCTTCAATCTTGGCCGGGGTGGGGTAATTTCCAGTTACCCCAGTGCCAGCGGGGACTGTTCCCTGTTGTCCCCCCCCTTCAACACCAGCAGAGAACGTAATGGGGCAGGAGTTCCCAGTTGCCCCAGCCTCATGGAGGACAGTTCCCAATTACCCCAGCGTAGAAGAGGAGCAGTGGGGCAGGAACTACTTGCCCCACCACTGGGGGAGAGCTCCCAGCTCCCCCAGTGCTGGCAGGGGCCAATCCCAGTTAACTCCCACTGCAGGGGAGGGTGCTGTGGGGCAGAACCCTCATCGCTCCATGTCTGGGATTAGGGGGGGGGGGGGGGGGCTACTGCCCCCTCCCCGCCGCCCCGGGGGTGGCTCACCTTCTCAGCCTGGATGGTGACGTGGCAGTTGGAGGTGGTCACCACGATGTCGGGGGGCTCAAACTGGCTGACGTCGGCCACCACCTGGTAGGTGTCACCCTGGGCACGCACCCAGGTGCCGAGGCTGCAGGGACACACGGCGCCCGGGGACCCTGCGGGCATTTTGGGGAGGGGGGGGGGGGAGGCAGGGGTGGCTGCTGGGCACAGGGGCACGAGGGCATGGGGACCAGGGGCTGAGGTGCAGGGGTGAGGGGGGGGGGTGGTGGGAGAGGCTGGTGACACTGGGGTGGGGGGCTGGGGATAGCAGGTGGCACTGGGGGTTTGGGGACATTGGGGGTGCTGGGGGGCTGCAGGGGGGACCCAGGGGTATGTGGGGTACTAGGGGGGTGTCTGGGGGCACCTGAGGGCACTGTGGGGGTCTGGGGGCACTGGACAACCTGGGGAGAACAGGGGAATGGCACAGAAGGCTGGGGACACAGGGGATGGCCAGGAAAGTCTTAATGGGGAGCAGGTTTGGAGGGCCACTGGGGTTACTGGGGAGCTCTGGGGATGTACAGGAAAGTGGGGTGCTATCAGGGGACACCAAGTGGTCTGGGATGTAAGGGCAGCCAGGAAGGTGGGAAAGGACATAGAGGGGTCTGGAGACACTGGGAGGCTCAGAAGGGTCTGGGTAGGGGGGAGTTGGGGGCACAGTGGGCCTGGGGACACCAGGGGTACCGGAAAATTGGGGGTTGGGGGGGCACAAATGGACTTGGCAGGAGGGGAGAGCTGGAGGATAGTTTAGAGAGCCATGGGGGACCTGGGGGGCAGTTGGGGCTCCCCTCCCAGCCCCTCCCAGTCTGTGCTGGGTGTTGGGGGGGGGGTGGGGTCCCATGCTGTGCCCATGCATGAAGAGGCTGGATAACCCCTGGGTGTGGGGGTGCCTCTTCCTGGGGTAGAAGGGACACCACCCCATGCCACCCCCACACACACCCCCTCCCCCGCCCCCCCATTCCCGGTACCTGGGTACCCGAAGGCCTCGTGTGCCCGTGCCCCGAAGGGCCCGTGCCGCTGCTCGCCCTCGAAGCGAGGATCGCCGTGCCCCTGGCCGTAGGCACCGAGGCACTCGGCGCGGTACGCGGAGGCCATGGCACCTGCCGCCCGTGTGTCCCCCCCCCCACGAAGCCCCGGCCACTGGGGAGGGGGCCGCCCGCCTGCCACCACCTCCGCCGCCACCGCCAGATGCCCATAATTAGGCACCCCGGCCCCAGGAATGCGAGATAAGGGCCGAGGCTTTGCCGTCACCCTACGGGGGCCGCGAGTGGGGGCGGGGGGGGGGACGGGGACGGGGACATGTCACTGCCACCACCGGCCTGCCACCAGCCCCCAGCCGCGCCCCACCCCACCCGCAAGAAGAGGCGCCCGGCACAGGGCTCGCACAACGGACTTTATTTGAGACCCGGCGGGATGGAGGAGGGGGTGCCGGGGTGTGGGCACCCCGTGGGTACCACTGCAGTGGGGTGGGGTGGGGGTGGGGGCTCAGGCAGCTCCCGTGGGTATGCACACGCGTGCACATGCGCTCCCGGGTGTGCACACGCACGCAGACACCCACGCAGAGCAAAGCCCCCCCACCCCTCTGCAGGCACCCAGTACCCCCCAGTCCATCCCAGTGCTGTGGGGAGCATCTGCTGTCCCCAGAAAGGGGGTGGTGGTGGTGGTGGTGGGTGGCAGGGAGCCCATCAGCATGGCATCAGGCCTGCTGGCCCCTGCACACCCTCACTGCTTGGCCATGCAGGGAGAGGGGAGCCAGCCCCACGCCGGGCACCCTGGGGCAGGGAAGGGGAACGGGTGCTGTGCCCGGTGGAGGTTGATGGGGGGGTGCTGGGGAGGGTGGGGGGGGTGCATGGGAGCAGGGGTGTAGGGGGTGCTGGGGCACCCCAGGGTGCGGGGCCGTGGCCGGGCTGGGCAAGGAGCAGCATGCAGCGGGCGAGCGGCCCCACGAGAACACGTGCCATGCGGGAAGGGGGGGCTCAAGCGTTGGCAAAAACTGGCATTCCTCCCCCAGACGGCATGCCTGGACCCCCCAGCACAGCCCTGGGGGGCCCTGGAGCTGGGGTGCCACCCCTGGCCAGGACGGGGGGGGCTGGTCGTCCTTCATGTAGGCACTTGGTTCCCTGCTAGGGGTGAGTGACTCAGGGACGGGGACGTCGGTCCCGGCGCCTCCCCCCTCTTTCCACCCCGCATTGCCCCACAGCAGACTCGGGGTCTCTGGTTGGGCTGAGCCCCCTGCCACGGGGCTGGCTTGGGGGTGCTGTCGCTGGTGGCCCAAAACCCCCAGCCTGGGGGCTCGTGCTCACCCGGCTCCCCCCTGGCCCTGCAGTCTCCCTGTGCCGGCCCCACGCGCGTACAAAAGTATAGAAAGTCCCGGCACCGCGGCAATTCTGTGCCCCCCCTGGCACCACGTCCCCCCCCACCCCACCCCCCGGCAGCCCCATGCCGCGAGGCATCAGTTCACAGTTTAAAACTCGGTCTGATAAAAGCCGGCTGGAGAGAGAGGAGAAAAGTCCCCCGCTCCCCAAATCCCCCCTGCCGCCCTGAGCCGAGGGTGCCAGGTGTGGGGCAAGGGCACCACGGGATGCTCGGAGAGGTTCAGCCATGCCAACGGGGGGGAGGGGGGGGGGAGGAGGGGTGTCTTGTGCCCGAAAGAGGAGCCCAGGGCAGTTTGGGGGGGGGGGGAACATGCGAACAACTAGCCCCATTGATTCAGTCCCATCAGTTTTGGGGGACACATCTGGGTGTCAGGGCGGGGGTTGGACCCCCCCAAGCCCTTCCCTGCGCCCCTTCCCCGCTCTCATGCAAAAATCCAGGAGGGCAACGATGTGGCCAAGCGGGGCCGGGGCACGGTGGGGGCACACTGGCCGGGGGGGTGGGGGCTGCAGTGGCCCCCTGACCCCCCCCCCTGCACCCCGATAGCGAGGGGGAGCAGCAGCAGGGCCTGTCCCTCGCCCAGTGCGGGGTCCGGCCGGAGGGCGCTAGCGGGGGGGCTGGACCCCCGCCGGGAGAGGCAGGGCACCCCAGGGGGGCATCAGGGTTCTTCGGCCTCCTCCTCTTCCTCCAGCGATGCCACCCCAGAGGAGGCGACGTCGGAGACTTTCCGGCGGAGCGGGAAGTCCTTGCTCAGCACCACCTCGTCCTCAGCGGGCGAAAGGCAGGCTTCGGCGTAGGACACGGAGTAGAGGGAGTCCTGGCACCGGAGCCGTGCCAGGCCCCGCAAGGCACTTTGGCTGGCCGGGGGGGGCAGCTTGGGAAGCAGCAGGTCCTCACCCCCCAGGGAGCCCAGCAGTTTGGCAGTGAGTTCGGAGGGGGACACCATCTCCAGGCTGCAGAGGCTGGAGCAGAGGGTCTCGGGGGAGAGGGTGTGCGAGGAGTCGCTCTCGGGCTCGCAGGAGCCGTGCCGCACGCCCAGCTGGCAGAGGTGGCCCTGCAGCAGGTCTCGCAGCAGCGCGCTGGCGGGCACCGTGCCGGGCAGCTCTGCAGGAAACCGGGATGCTCGGGGTCAGTGCAGGGCTGATGGCAGAGGGGGCTGCCAGCTGCCCCCCTCCCCGTGCCCCACGGGATGGGAGCAGTGGGATGGGAGCAGCCCCGTGCCAAGGCGCTGTGCTCCCTTTGCCCACAGATTGCTGCGTGCGTGGCACTGCTGGCCACCAAAGGAAAAGCAAAATACGCTCGGACACCAGGGAGGGTCATGTTGCATCCCCGTGGCACCAGGCAGTGGCACTGCCCTGTAAGCAAGTGGCCAGGATGGGGAATGTGGCCGGGCATCGGGCACCCCCCTCCTTCAACCCTTGGCACCAGCAGCGGGACACCAACGCCGGCAGCGGGACACCGTGCCCGCTGGTGTGTGCCCACTCCCCGTGACACTTACCGGTGGGCTGGGAGCTCTCCGTGGAGGGCATGAAGTCCTCGTCGTAGGACTCGTCATTGGAGTCGTCCCCGTCCACTGAAGACCAGGCTCGCAGCTTGGCCTCGGCGATGGCAAACTGCTCCGCCACGCCTGGCACGGGGACAGGCACGGGTCAAGCGTGCGCTGAGAGGTGCTACCCTTCCCGCCCCCAAATTCCCCCTGCCCCGGCACCCCTGCGTGCCGTGGCACCAGCAGATGGATGGTTGGATGGGGGACACCCCCCCCCCCGCCCCCCCCGCCGTGCTGCGCGGTGCCCACCAGCAGCGAAGCGTGCCTCCTGCTCGCCCTCGCTCAGGTGGCAGTAGGAGCTGAAGGCGCTCTCCAGGGCGGCCGGCGGCTCCACCGGCTTGCACCAGCCCTTCCACTCGATGAGGTGGGCGACACGGCCCTGCGCCATGGCCGTCGGCTTCGTCACGTGCTCCTTCACCACCTGCGAGATGCCTGCGGGATGTGCCCCTGCGTCAGCACCCCCTTGGGCACCCCGAGTCCCCTCCACGGAGCCCACGACCCTGGGATCCAGCACCCCCCTCGCTCCTCCAGCCCCCGGGACCTAGCACCCTCCATACCCTCCTCTTGGGTTGCACCGGCGACACCTTGAGACCTCCCCAAACCCCAGAGGGGTGACCCCAATCCCCTCTCCGAGAAGCCCAGCCCCCTCACCCGTAGGAGACCCCCCTCTTCTCCAGATGCACACACACACCCCCCCCCCTCCCCGGGCACCCCCGCGAGCCGTTACCGTGCAGCGAGGAGCGGGCCAGGGCGGCGATCTCCTGGATGGTCAGCGCGCGCCGCGACTTGGGCAGCATCTCGACAGTGTCCTCAACATGGACCTGCTGGGGGTGCGGGCAGGGGCGTCACAGCCCCCGGCCACCCTGCCCGTCCCTGCCGCCGCTCCCGCTCTGGGACCCCCCGTGGGAGCCCCAGGAGGGGGCTTGGCCCCGCTTTGTGCCTTCTCCGCCCCAACCCTGCAGGGCCTGGGGTTTCTGTGCACACGCGTGTTACAGGCACACGGATGCGTGTGGTGTGTCACAGCCACTACAACAGGGCGGTGGGTACACGCCCACCCGTGGCTGTGTGCGCACGCCCACGGTTAGTGCACCCGTGCGCTGCGACTGCGTGCACACGCACTGTGCACGCTCGCACCTGGACTCTTCTACGTCCACGCAGGGACACGCTCAGTGCACGCCCGCCCGCATGTGCCCGCTCTACATGTACACGCACGGACACCCGCACACACGCGCCAACCAGAAATGCACAGGCGTGCTTGCTGAGCACGCACGTACACACTCACAACCCCCCCCACCACCACACCCACTCGCAGCAGACACAGCCCACCTCACCGTGCACACGCGCAAACCCACTCCACGCGCATGCGTGCTCACTGCGCCCGCTCCACACATGCACACGCGTGTGCACTCACTGTACGCACACATGCACCTGCACGTGTGCACACGCACACACACACGTGTGCGTGCGTGCACACGTGCTAGTTGGTGCCACTGAGCGTCCTCCCCAGCTTGTGTGCGCACACGCACACGCACACACACGCGTGTGCAAGGTCACCACGGCCGGGCTCCCCAGCGCCCGCTCCCCGGCAGCACCCGCCACGCCGGAGCATCCCGCTGCACGTCCCCATTGCCTGTCCTGGCCACGCCAGGCCCCGAGCCCACGGGGGAAGCGACTGCAGGATTTGGAGGCGCGCAACAAATTGCATTGCCATGGCAACGAGGCACCGTGGACTGATTTCTCCCAGGATACAGCCCGGCTCGCGGCTGACGTCAGAGCAGCCCCGGCTGCGAGCTGGCAGGGCCGGGCAGGCAGCGGGGCGGTGGGCAGCAGAACCCCCCACCCCGGGGACCCCCGGCCACGGCCAGGACGGGCGTCCCACCACAGAGCGTGGGCTCACGGGCGTCCCGGCGGTACCTGGAGGAAGTCCTGGCTGTCGAAGGAGGCCTGGCGCACCAGGCGGGGCAGCGGGCGGGCGGCACTCAGCGGAGACAGCGCTTTCACCTCCTTCCACTCCACGCACAGCGTCGTGTCCACGGCCACTGCAGGAAGAGCCGGGGCCGGTGTCAGCACCTCTGTGTGTCGTCGTCCCCCCCGCCCCCACCTCCACCCCTGGGGGTAGTGGCTTCTTGCCCAGTCTGAGACCAGACACAACTCATTGCAGGGCTGCTCCGGAGCAGCCTGCTGTTGCGGCACGGGTGACTCACGCCCGGGCAACTCTTCCGCCTGTGTCAGCGGTAACGCACGGCCCCAGCCTGGCACCGGGGACCGGGCACCCGTCCCGGCTTGGCGGCTGTTTTGGGAGGGTTGGGGGCAGCTGGACCAGGCTGGGGGGTGGGAGGCGGACTGGGCCGGGCGCTGGGTGTGTGGAGGGAGGTGGTACTGGGCCGTGCTGGGGTGGGGGGTGGGGGTGGGGGGGCTGGTGCTTCTCTACCATCTCCAACAGTGCCCCCCCTCTCCATTCCCCCATCACTGGGGCAGGAGGGAAAGGAGCAAAAAGGGAAGGGAGCGATAAAAGCACCCGCACCCATTCTCCACCCTGACAGCCTGACCTTCTGGCACCGGCCCCCCAAACGGATGGGTGTCGTCCCCCCCCTCGGGCACTGACTCCCAAGCACCAGGGCCAGGGAGGGTCCCCTGTCACGGCTGCCCCCAGGCCAGGCCAGACCCCAAAGCACCAGGGCAGGACATCCCCAAGGAGCCTCATTCCCCCCCGCACCGAGGTGGGACCAGCTGACATAAACCAGCTGTAGGGTGGGATATGGGGGGGGAAAACCGTGCTCCCCCATCTGGGGGTAGCCCCTGGCTCCCAGAGAAGCTGCTGACAGCATCGCCCCCCACGCCCGGCTGTGGGCAGGGGCACCCTGCGGTGATGCCCCAGCATCGACATCCCTGCCCTCCCTTAGCAACAGCACCTCCAGGGCCCCCCCCGGCGTGTCTGCAACACCCCCAGTGCTGGCCCAGCCCCCAGAACACTCTCAGATCATGGCCACAGCCCCCATCGCCCCCGTCCTTCCTGCAGCACCCCCAGGACATCTGTGGCGCCTCCACAGCACCCCTGTGGCGCCCCACACCCTGCAGCACACCCCTGGCAGCCCACATAGCCCCTCCAGTAGCCCCCCAAACACCTCTGTCCCCCCTCATAGCACCCCCACACCCTCCCAGGCCTCTGACCAGCACCCCAGTCCCACCCCCCCGTTCCCAGCCCCCGGCATCCCCTCACACCCGTTCCCCCCAAGCTGCATTCCAATCCCCCCAACCCCTACACATCCTCACCCCCCATATCTCCCCACACCCCCAGCTGCCCCAGAGGAGCACCCCCAGGCCCCAACCCCCCATCCACCTATAGCCCCCCAGCCCCATATATGTACCCGAGTCCTCCAGAGCCCTCAAGCTCCCTGTATTCCCTCCCCATCCTTAGGCACCCCAATCCTCTCTGCGCCCCTCTCCCCACTTCCACAGCCCCTCCAGCCCCCATCCAATGCCACCCCATCCTCCTCAGCTCCCCCATAACACCCCCCCCTACATCTTCCCATATCCCCCAGCCCCCTCATCGCATCATTCCCGTCTCCCCACACCCCTCCCAGCACCCCCTTCCACCCCACATCCCCAAGCCCCCCACACACACACACCCTCCCTACCTTAGGATCCCTCCCCAGTGGGCCCCCAAATACCCCTGCCACCCCTCTCCCCGGTCCCAGCCCGGTGCCGCTCACCCACCGATGGTGGTTTTGGAGCCAATGCAGCCCATGCTCCCGGGGGGGCCCCGGTGCGGGCACTACCGCCGGCTCCGCGCCGCCCGCATCGCCCCCCGGCCGCATGGGCGGCCCCGGGCAGCGCCCGCGCCCCACCGGAGGCTGCCGCCGGGCCGGGCCGCGGTACCGGAGCCCCGAGCGGTGCCTGCGCCGGGCCGGGGAGCAGCACGTCCAGAGACGTCACTGCTAGGGGAGGAAGAGGAGGGAGAGGGGGAGGCGGGAGGAGGGAGGGAGATGGGGAGGAAGAGGAGGAGGATGGGGAGACGGAGGGAGGAGGGGGAAGAGGAGGAGGAGGAAGGCTGGGGAAGAGGAGGGCGAGGGGGGATGAAGGAGGAGGGAAGGGGTGGATAGGGGAGAGAGGGGCTGGGAGGAAGGGGAGATGAGGAGAGAGAGGAGAAGGGGGATGAAGGCAGCCGGGGAGGATGAAGGAAGAGGGGGGCTGAAGGAAGAGGAAGAGGGGGATGGAGGAAGAGGAGGGGGGCGCGGGGAGGAGGATGGACGAAGGAAGAGGAGGGGGCTGAGGAGGAGGAGGAGAGGAAGGCTGGGAAGCGCGGAGAGCGCCGTGCCAGCACCGCGGACAGCGCCGCCCCCCCCCCCCGGCCCCGGGCCCCCCCCCCGGCAGGGACACGGCCCGGTGAGCGCCGGGGGCGGGGGGCTACAAGGGGCAGGGACTCTCCAGCAAAACAGCCCCCCCTTCAGCCCCAGGCCTGCCCAAGAAAAGGGGGGGCTCTGGCCCTGCCTGCCCCCCCCCCCCCAAAAGGGTGAGTGGTGCCAGAGTAAATCTACACCCCAACACGGGGCTGGGGGTCCCGCCTCGGCGGGGCTGCGTTTGGGGTGACGGCCCCACAGCAGCCTCCCCGGCAGGAGATCGAGGCTGGTGCTGTTGCCGGTCTGAGGGGTGAACTTGCAGCCAAAGACGTCTGTTCATTCTGAAACCTACTGATGGCAATTAACGCTGCAGCACCTTTGCCCTGGCACGGAGGGGAACAGGAGGGCACTGCCAAGGTGCCACCCTCCCCCTTGGCAAGCAAAGTACCGGAGCAGCCCCAGGGTCTCCTTCTTTACTCACTGACTCCTAGGCAGGTGGAGCTCCTGGCCAGTACCCCCCCCACAGAGACCCTGCTGGCCTTTCCCTGCCAACTGGTTGCCAGCATCAGTGCTGCCAGGGCTGCAGCTCAGACAGATCAACCTCTCATCTGGGGAACAGCCTCTGGTTAATTATTCTGTACCCTCTGGGCTGTGGCCAGGGTGACTCAGCAAGAGGCAGCCCAACACACCAAAGACCAGCCCAGCCCCGAGGGGGGTCCAGGCTCCATCCCCAGCAGGGACACCCCACCGGGGACACCCAGCAGGGCTGGGAGCAGCCTGGGCTTGCCCCATCTTCACGCCACCTGCAAGACAAGGGTCACCCGAAGAGAAAAACCTCAAAACCTCATCTCTCCCCTTCTTCTGCCCCCAGGGCAGAGCCCAAGCAGAGGGCGCAGGTCCTGTCACTTCTGTGCCCAGGGGAAAAGGGACACTTGGGGCCATCAGGGTGCTGGCAGGGCTGGTCACTCCACCGCGGGACACCCTGTGCTGGGCAGAGCCGGGGCAGGGGGGAGGAGGGGGCCTGGCTCCAGGCACATCCAACCCCCTTGCCACCCTCCCAGCCCCAGGGTGGGGGGTACCTACCCTCTGCCTTGGGGTGCCGGGGGAGGCTGGGCACTCCCATGCCAGCCCAGGCGCAAGGGACATGGGACAGGGCGGGGGCGGCAACAGCGGCACACGGGGCATTATTTAGCAATGTTCTTTTATTTCCAGTTTTAAGGTGAAAAGATGCCTTTAAATCTTCAATTAAATACTCCATAAAGAAAAAAAAAAAAAAGCAAAAAAAAAAAAAATTATTTACAAATTCACGTGACCAGTAATTGAATCCTTGTTTTAATAATTACACGTGCGGCTCGTCACATCCGGCGCTCTATAAATACAGGGGACGCGGATGGGGGGGCCGCCCCGTCGCTTGCCCAATTGTGGCCTTAAACGTTTGGGAGGAGGATGGGGGCTTTTTGGGGGGAGGAAGGGACTGAGCCTGGCCCAGAGAGAAGAGGTCACCCCCCCTCCTCCCCGGCACCCTCCCCAGGTGTCAGAGCAGGAGCTGGGGGGGGAATGATTTATATTTAAAATAAAAAAAACCATAGAGGGGGCATCCAGGCAGTGATGGGAGGAATAGAGAGAGGACAGGGGAGGGGGAGAAATCACGCTCCTGTCCCCAAACCAAATTTAATAAGTTTATATATATATAATCTCTCTATATTTCAGCAAGAAGTGGGGAGGAGGAAAAGGAGGGGGGAAAGGAGGGGAGACGTATATCCCCAATCCCATCCCCCCTCCCCATAACATGAGTCCGGGGGTGCTCTGCCCCGTTCCTGGAGTCCTGGTGTGCCTGCGCTGGGAGGGGGGAGAGGAGGGGCCCCACTGCAACAGCCGCCTCCCTCAGCATCCGTTTATTATCACCGTGGCAAACTAGTACAGGCCTCGCAAACAGAACCGAGATGGAGCGAGGAGGGAGAGGAGGAGAACTGAAAAGATACAGGGGGGCTGGAGGGGGGGGCACAGCAGGTCCCTCAGCCCTGGCATCGGCAAGTCCAGGGGGGCTGGGAGGGGATGGAGTCGCTCCCCAGGGTGGCCTGCTCTCTCTCTCTCCCCCTTCCTCCTCCTCCTCCTCCTCCTCACGGCTGCTCAGTTGTTATCCGACTCGTCCTCGGCTTCCCGGAGCCAGGTGAAAAAGGCCGTCACCGATTTGAGAGCCACCCCTTTGCCCTGCTGCTCGGCTGGGTCCTTGCTGGACTCCCACTTGTAGAAAGCTTCCTCCTTGATGACATCCTCGTCGTAGAGGGCGTCAAAGAACATCCGCAGCAGGTCTGGGAGAGGGGACAAAGGGGAGCCCCTGCTATTCCCCTGCCACCAGCCACCCTGCTGGGGTGGGGATGTCTTCCACCCCTCCTCCGCCTCAGCCCACCCACCCCACGACACTCACTGGGAGGCTGGTCCAACTTCACCACCAAGGCTTGCAGGGCGTAGAGCGCCTGGAGCTCCTTCTGCTCATCCCGCAGGTACTTCTGCAGCAGCTTGGCTTGGTTGCGGATGACCAGGGCATCCACGCGGCAGGGGTTCTCAACTGCAGGAGATGGGGCGTGAGAGGGGGGCAGCGCGGGCACCCCCACACTCCCCCCACCTCACACTGGTACTCACAGATGATGGCCGAGTGGCACACGGACGTCATCAGGGCCCTGATAAACGTGTTGGATGAGACCTGCTGCTCGCTCAGGTTGGCCTGGTGGAGGGACGATAGAGGGGGCTGTGAGGTGGGGAGAGCGCCAGGAGGTAGCCCCACGAATCCACGGGTGCTGCACCCACACCCTCACCTCGATCCAGTCGTGTATTCTTTGGTTGTTCGGGTTCTCCTTCAGCAGTTTGTCCATTTGCTTGCACAGCTCCTCCGAGGTCAGCTCCTTGCGGCTCGGCGTGTCCGAGCTATCCCCCATCGTGTACTCCAATTTCTGGGGGAGCAGGCAGAGATGAGATGATAAAGGCAGCACGGGGGAACACCGCACTCCTGGCAGCAGGATCCCCCCAGGGTCCCCCGCACGGCCCATCTCTGTCCCTCACTGCCACCGAGCTCCCACCTGCTCTGTGACAAATTTGTTGACATCCTGGTCCTCGGGTAGGAATTCTTTCCAACTCAGGCCCCCGTCCCGCCACAGCTTGCCTGCGGTCTTCTGGCTCTGCAGGACAGACAGACAAGTTGGCATCGGCACCTCACGCCCCCCCATCTCCAGGGAGGGGGGTACTGCAGCTTGGCCATGCCACCCCCATGACCCAGACCCAGCGAGGGGTGGCCCCTGCCATCCCCTCTGGTGGCAGAGAGGCTCAATCCCCACAGGCCAACCTGCCCCTCCCAAGCAGGCTGCCAGTCCCCGAGGCAGCGGCCAGCAGCCACACGAGCCCCGTGCACTTACCATGCCCTTGCACAACAAGCCCAGCACCTCGACCAGCAGTGTGGTGGCCTTCCCGATGGGCACCAGGGGCTTCGTTATCTCCCTGCGGAGCACAAGAAACCTGGCTGAGCCACCTGCCCCCAGGAGCCCCTCCCCGGGACCCCGTGGCAGCACCGCGGAGGGGCACAGCCCTCACCTGAACAGCTCCTCCATGGGAATGCCTTCCTCTTGCAGGATGGGGGTGATGAGTTCGGCCAAGTACAGCCAGATGTGGGGGATGTCGATCTCCATGTCTTCCGCGATCTCCAGGATCTCCCGCAGCCTGCAGGGCAGAGAGGGGCCGTTGGGATCCGGCAGCCCCCGTGCCCTCGGCTGGGAGGGACCTCGGGACGTCTCAGTGATGAGCCCTGCTCAAGGCAGGGCCGAATTCAAAGTCGGCTAAATACCAGCTCGGGGCCAGGCTGCCCCAGCCCCTCACCCTTTGTAGTACTGCTCCTTGGAGAGCGTGCCCGCCTTCACCAGCTGGCACAGCAGGACCCCCATGTGCTCACGGGAGATGGTGCTCCTCTCCAGCGTGGACTCGATACCGTTCTGCACAAAGATGTAGAGCGAGGAGGGGCTGCCCAGCTCCTGCACGCACTGCAGGGCCTCCTGCAAGAAAAAGAGGGGTCAGTACTCTGCCCCACGGCCAGCCCCGGCTCCCCTCTTCCTCATCCAGGCACCACCAGCACCCCTGCCCAACAGCGCTACCTCCCAGGGAGGCAGACAGTGTATTATGGGGGCCATACGGTGCCGTGCCTGGCCACCCCCTCCTCTCACCTTCATGTCATTGATGTGCAGGTATTCCTCTATAATCGCCTTGGATTTCTTCTCCAGCTCCTCTTCTGACAGCGCAGGCTTGGGGGATGCTGCGGGAGGTGCCGGCTCTTGCTTAACTGTGAGGAGAAAGCAAGGGTCAGGCACTGCCAGGGCCAAGCAGAGCCCCCCCCGGCCACCACGCCTCCCCAGCTCACTGGTCTCTCTGCTCCTGTCCCGTTCCTCCGTCATGCTAGCAGCCTTGCGCACGGCTTCGGGGCCGCTCTGCTTCTCTCGTTCTCGGCTCCTGTCCTCTGTCTCTTTGCTGAAGCTCCTCTTGGTGAGGGCAGACCTGTTCCTGTCTGCCCGCTCCCCCCGGTCAGGACGCTCCAAGCGGTCGCTGCCCTTCTCCGAACGCGACTCCCGGTCCCCTCTGTCCCCAGCCTTCTCTGACCTGTCACGGCTGGAGCTGCTCCTGGGTGGGAGGGACAGACACAGTGTGAAGAGCACGTTGCCACCCTCCCTGACCCCAGACTACAGAGCTCTGTGAGACAAGGTCATCCCACTCCAATCCCAGCCTTTTCCAGGGCCTCTTCTAACACTTGACCACCCTCAGGGCAAAACTCTTCTCTGTTTCTCCCCTGTTCCAACTTATCCCTTTTGCCTTTCGCTCTGTCCCTCAGCATGGCTGAGCAGAGCCTGGTCCCATCCTGCCCACACCTTTCCCCTGCTGCAGAGCGTGGCGAGAGCCCCCTTCGTTTTCCTCTTCTGAACCAACCCAACTCCAACTCTCCTTGGGGACCTTGTGCTCCAGCCTCCACGGGGCTCCCTCCAGCCCGCTGATGTCCACCTAGTCCCGGGCCTCCCAGACCCGACCCAGCACCCCGGTGTGGTCCCACAGGTGCCGAATGGCGGGGAGAAAGCCCAGGGTGGGGTCAGCCTTCTTTGCCACAAGGACTCGCCGCTAGCTCCAAGCCCTGATCCTGCCACAGGGGATTATTCCAGTCCAGAGGCTAAACGTTTGCCTCCATACTGACCGACCGCTGCCTGGTTCGGGGGGGGTTCCTCCCTGGGCTTCAGACCAACACACCCACACGCCAAGGTGGGGCTGCCCCCTCACCTCTGCACCACGCGGCGGGACTCCAGGCTCTCGGCGGGGGTTGACTGCTGGAGCGCGGAGAAGCGGTTCAAGGTGCTCGTGGCTGGTCGCCCTGAATCAGATGCTAGGCGTGAAAAGAGGGGAGTCTCAGAGTTCGGCACCGCCCCGGGTACAGGAACTGCAGGGGGAAGGACCCCCGCTCCCACCCTGGTCCAACGGCACCCCCAGCCAGCCCCACATTGCCTACCTGAATCTGCAGGCTTTGCACCAGACCCTCCGCTGCTGCCTTTGCCCCAGCTCAGCCGCCCACCCGGCGCAAAGAGCTGGTTGTTGGAGTCGATGGATCCGGGCTGCAGGGAGAGAGACAGAATCAGCTCTGAACCCCACGCCACGGCAGGATCTGGGCCAGGCAGCCGGCTCAGCCTCCCACACTGCGCCCCCAGCCTCACCTTGGTGATCTTCGTTAGCCGGCTGGTGTCGATGGGCCGGTTGCCCTTGCTGATGGGCACCGTGTTCCAGCCATCATCTGCGACCAGGCTCCCGCGCCCACCTGGGCACAAGGAGGACAGACATAAGGCACAGCCCGGCCTTGAGCGGTGCCCAGTGGGAGCAACCCACCCTTGGCAGCCTCAGCTGCCCCCGGGGCACTCACTGCTGGAGGATGGCCCGGGGGGTCCTCTCCTCTTGTCCTTCGACATGAGCTGCTGCACTTTGATGTGTTCCCGATGTTCCTCCATCTCTGCTTCCTTGTGGATCTGGTCGATGGTTTTGGGGCCCTGGTCTCCTCGCCGCGGCACCCAGCTATTCTGCAGAGGGCAGGGAAGGAGGGAACAGGACACTGAGCCGGCTGGAGGACGAAGGCAGAGACATTCCCCCTTCCCAGGCTCAGGCCAGCCTCCTGCCTTGGCCATCAAACCTCCCCATGTGCTGTGGCAGCTTTTGGCACAGAAGGGCTCGGTTTCCAGAGCCCCCCTGCATTAAACAGCTGCCGGTTACTGTGTGCCCACTACCACTACCATGCTAACCAAGGGCTGGGGGCTAGCATGGCGTCTCTGGGGCCGGCCACAGTTATATACCCACCTCTCCCATCCCAGGGACTCATGGACTGCTGCCGCTCGGAGGACACAGGCCAGCAGCTCCATGGGACCAAGGAGGGGACAGAGGAGAGTCCTCAGGCAATAGCAGTCCACGCGCCTTACCCGTCTGAGGTCAATCACATCCTGCAGCATGAAACGGATTCGGGATGATGTCTTCTTCTCTTTGATGATCTTTTCCATCTGATTGAAGTACTGGTCCATCCTGGGCTATAGAGGGACAGAATGATGGTCACATCCCTCCCAAATGCAAGGGCAGGGCAAGGCAGGGCAAGGCAGGGCAGGGCAAGGCAAGGGGTACCTTGGCCTTTTCAAAGTCCAAGTCCTTGCCAATGGTGGTAAGCAGGCGGCAAAGGCACTCAAGAGACTCTTCATCGTGGTTTTTGAGCAGCTTCACCACGCAGTCATGCATGATAGCCTCCGTCAACATCTTCAGTTTGAAGAGTTCTCCAATGAACTTGATGTTGCCCAGGGATCGCCGGCGGGCCTTGTCCCGCGCCTCCTCCAGCTCGTCCTTCATGCGTGCCTTCTCCTCGGGCTGCAGGGAGGGCACAGCAGGGTAGCTCAGGGCCCAGACCCACTCCGAGGACACCCACACCAGTCCTCAGCCACAGCTGCCCACCCCAACTCACAGCACTGGCATCGTCCATCTCCTTTTGACGCTTCTCAAAGATCTCGTCATCATCCTTGTCCTTCTCAAACTCCTTCTGGCAGCGGTTGAGCAGCAGCTTGCGGAAGTTCACAGTCACCGTGGGCTTGTCTGTTGTGGGCACTTTGAGCTGCAGGGAGAGGTACAACCCAGGCAAGGAGCATGAGTTGTATCTCCCCCCCAAAGTTGGCCAGCTAAGGCCCAGGCACCGCTCAAACCAGGAAAAAGCCGCCCTACACTCTTGTGATGCCCTGCTAAGACTCTGGACTTGGTCCTTCATCCCTCGACCCAGTTTCCCTACCCCACACAGAAGGACCTACACTCCTGCCAGCTCAGCGGGAGACCCCCCCCAGCTCCTGCTCACCCCCATAAGGCAACGGCACATGTTAGCATAGGCAACAGAGAAGTTTGGCTCCGAGATGGCCTTCTCGAAGACGAGGTCGATGACACCCTTGAGCCGCTCCTCCGTGTCGATGGACAACTCCATCACCTGCTTCATCAGCTGCTGGAACATCTGGGGCGTCAGCTTGTTGAGGATGCTGCGGACACGGCGGAGCAGTTCCTGCAAGTACAGCAGGGTCAGCGAGAGCTGGGCACATCCCCTCCCGCCCTCCCGCCGCCCGCCTGCCCCAGCTCCCACCTGCGTCTTGATGTTCTCAGGATCCTCCTCCTCAGAGGCACGCTTGCTGCTGGGTTTCCAGGCCTTCTCGGCCTTGTTCAGCTTGACATCCTCATTGAGGGACACAGTGGCAATGATTTTGCGGGGCTCCTTCCTCTGGCTCTGCTGGGAGCGGCGGGGACCCAACCCTGAGGGCTGACACGGGGAGGAGAAACTCAGCTCTTTGCTGTGGGGCCAGCTGGGCCGGCTCCCGGGGTGTCACCATCCGCCTGTGCTCAGATCCTCACTTCCATCACGGACATCAGTGGCCCAGACACAGCGGCTCGAAGGCTTGATCATCACAGAAAGGCGGAGGGGAACAGCATCAGTGGAGCGAGGAGATACTTACCAGGCCCCGGTTGCCCATGACGGGCCGGCCGAGGTTGGCGAAGGAAGGGGTGAAGTCAGGGCTGCAGTTCATGCCGCTGAGGCGGATGGGGTCGAGCGCCCGCAGTGGGGTCTTGTTGGCCTGTGAAGGTACACAGGGCTGAGGATGCCCGGGGGCAGAGGAGCGGGACGGATCCATCCCCCAGCCTCAGCGCCGGGACAAGGAACTGGAAAGAAGGCCCCAAAGGTGCCCCCACACACCAACCCCAGGCTCAAGGCTTGCTGCAGATGCTGCAACAGGACCCCGAGCACAGCAGGTTGAGTCCCTGCTCTGCCTTGACCAGGTCCAAAAAAAGAGCCAGACCCCCACCACCCACCCTCCCCCGATTTCCAGGGCCGCACCGACCTTGTCCAGCACCACATCCGTGATCTGGGGCAGCCCCTCGGGTTTCTGCATGCTGGCAAAGATGAACTGGAAGCCCAGCAGGAACTCCCGGTCATAGCGCTTCTTCTCCTCGGGGTTCAGTGGCTTCCATTGCTCTGCAGTGGGGGACAGAAGGGAGATCCTGACGTGGACAGTCCCGTGCCCTCCACCCTGAGCTGTGGCAGGTCCAGTCCCACCCAAGGACCAGTGAGGTGGACGGTGGACAACCACAGACCTGCCCCAGCCTAGCACACCATGAGCACGATGCTGCTTGTTTAGACAGAAAGCCGGATGCCACCAGCTCCCTGCCTCCTGCCTCGCTCTGGGGCCTCTGTCCCCCACCCCGTGCCAGGCTTGGGGACAAGATTGGAGGAGAACATGAGGTTTAGGACAGCTGGACCGTGCCACCCACACCCTCCCCACAACTGGGTCCAGAGAGGTGGTGGCGGCTCCCAGCACAGGCCTGGGCCAAGGCACGGCTCACCTTCCTTGTAGCGGTACTTCTGGTCGGCAGCCTTGCCCTTCTCTGGGGCCAGCTTGTCCTCCTTCTCCTCCCACGTCTCCTCCGACTCTTCCTGTGGACGGGCGGGGGCCGCGTCCTCCGCTTCGCGGGCAGGGGCGGGTGCGGGGGGCTTGTTCTCCACCTCCGAGGCACTGTCACTGATCTGAGACTGCATTGGGAGGGACGGAGACAGCAGTCACCCCGCAAGCCTGGTCCTGCCCCCTCCACCCCGCACCCAGGCATCCGCCCTCCCTCAGATCCTCACTGCCATCACGGAACATCAGTGGCCCAGACACGATGGCACAAAGCAAAGTTCATCACAGGAGGAGACGGGACACGGCGTGACACCCGGACACCCCTGGGACACTCACCTCTTTAAAGGCATCCAGCAAATCGCCTACTGCCTCCTTCTTGTTCAGCTCCTTCATCCTTCGCTTCTTCTTTGGCACCGACACGGCGACTGGGATGAGAGGCAGGGAGGTGAAGGACAGGAACCCTCCCAGTCCCCCCCAGGTATCCTGACACCAGGTCTGGGGTCACCAGTGAGGCCCCAGTAACACCAGGTGAGCTTCAGGATGGGGCCATGGGGACATGGTCCTGTCACCCCAGCACAGCCACCATCCCCAAACACACCACCTACCCACCTGGGCATCTGCAGCCCTGCGGATCCTACACCAAGGCACCCTGCTCCCCAAATGTGCGCCCCAGAATACACCCCCTATAGATGCACCTCACATCTCTCCCCATCTGGCCGCTGCACCCCAATTTACCCCACGCCTCTCCAAAACACCCCATCCACACCTCTTCCCTAGCGCAGTGCTCCCCATTCTCCGCAGGGGATTCCTGCAGACACCCACACTCTTCTGCAGGGCAGCCCTTACAGGGACACCCCCGTACACACCTCTGGCCCCACATATGCTTCCCTCCCTGCCATCCCTATACACCACCCCATATAGAGGTGCTCCCCAGAAGCACATCTGCCCCCAGGTTGCCCTCCTACAGCCCCTCCTGCATCCCTGCACAGGGTGCTCTGTATGAACATGTCCTGTGAACCCATCTCCCCCAGTAACCCCCACGCTCCTGTGCAGGGTGCTTTAAAAAAAAAAAAAAAAAAAAAAAATTATATATATCTTCACCCAGCACATCCCCAGGGCACCCCACTTTCCACAGGAACCCCTATGTACTTGCATACCCCTACGCAGAGTGCCCCCAACAGCTCTGCTTCTCCCCTGCCACCCCTCCACCTCACTGTGCCCCCAGACAGTGGGGGACAGCCCTCAAATACAATCCCAATACACCCACCTTACACCCCTGCACGAGGCACCACCTAAAACACAATTCTCTCATGCCACCCCATCCCGCATGACCCAGGACACCCCACACATGCACCCCTCTACACCCACCCCACACCCCTGCATACAGATGCGCTCCCCAGACATCTCCCCCCATTTTTCCATCCACGGGTGCTTTGTCCCCCACCCCATACCCACACATCCTGGGGGTCACCCAACCCCGTCTCCCCTCTCCAATACTCCTCCCGTACCCCATGCCCCGCACCGCACCCGGGTGACCCCCTAACACCCACCCTGGGGCACCCCACGGCCCCGCACGCCCCAGCCCAGCATCCCCAACCTTGTGCAGTCGCCTCCGAGGTCTGAGAGGGGGCAGGGGCCGGGCTCGAGCTCCGCTCCTGAGCCTCGCTGGGGCCTTCGCTCTCCTCCTCCTCCTCCTCTGCCGGGGGGGAGGCAGGGGTGCCGGGCTGGGCCGGCTCCTCAGGCTCCGAGATGGGGCTGATGTCCGACTCGGGCTGCTCCTCGCTTGGCTCCGTTTTGCCAGTGCCCTCCACCCCGTTGGGCAGGGGCAGCTCTTCGGGCTGGGCAATGGGGGAGTCCAGGGTGGGCGCAGGCACCGGTGCGGACACCGGCTGGCACACGGGCACCTCGGGGACCGGCTCGGGCACCTCGTCTAAAACCCCGTTGGCCTCAGCAGCGGGCTCGGCGGCAGGCTCGGGGCAGGGCTCTTCCCGGGGCGGTGGGGGGCTGGGGGAGGAGGGTTTGGCGGGTGCTTCGGGGGCCTGCGGTACGACGGGCGGTGGTGGCGGCGACGGCACGGCCGGCACCGGGGGCACGGCTGGCATTGGGGGGACAACGGGCACCGGCGCCACCTCAGGGGGGGGCACAGGCACCTGTGGGGCGGGCTCCGGGAGGGGAATGGCGACCTCCTCTGCTGCCGCCACCTCCTCTTCCTCCTCTTCTTCTTCCTCCTCCTCCTCCTCTTCTTCCTCCTCCTCCTCCTCCTCCTCCTCCTCCTCCTCCTCCTCCTCCTCCACAGCCCTCGTGTCCATGTCGGGCGCGGGCACGAGGGGCAGCTCCACAGCCCCTGGCACTGTAGTGACGGCGCTAAACGTCTCATGCGGGTCGGGCGGCGCCTCGCCCAGCTCCGCTTTAGTGTCCGCGTCCACGGGGGGCTCCATTGGCACCAGCGTCACGGCCGAGAGCACCACGGGCTCCACCTCGGGGATGAGGGGAGGGGGAGGCGACGGGGACGCTGACTTGCTGGGTTCCAGGGAGACGGGCTTGCTCACCACCAGCGCGGGCTTCGGGCGGTCATCTGCAAGGTGGGCAGCGTTAATGGGGGGAGTTGTCCAATCCCCGGCTCATCCCGCATCCCCCCCGCACCAGCTCCCTCCATCTGCAGGAGGGGTAAGGACAGATGTGCCAACCCACACCACAAACAGGTGATGGGGACAACTGGGGTCCCCCGGTGCCCAGGGGACAGCTGGGGTGAGCAGACAGCCCCCATCAACTCTGCTGGACCCAACATGGGGACGCAGGTCCCCAAGTACGTAGGGAATGCATCTGACCCCAAAATCCCCAGGTGAACTGAGGAACAGCGGGGCTGGCATCTCGCACCCTGCGGTGCCAAAACAGGGAGCCCGGCAGCAGCTGTGCTGGCTGGCATAACCACCGCTGGCACAGGCACTCACCTGGCCGGACAATAACTGCTACATGGGGGGTCTCTCCGTTGGCCTGGGGCTCCAAACCGCTTCCAGCCTGGGAGGGTGGAGGCAAAGAGTGAATTCAGCAGGGCCCTGTGCACGTCCCACTGCTCCAGGCAGGGTGTCGGGGGGGGGGGGTCCTCTTACCTGTGGAGGGGTGGGGGTGGATGAGGTTCTTGCTCCGGACATGATTTCTTCGGTGATGTCTTTGCCACCTTGGTTGGGGTCTCGTATCCGGATCTGTCCGTGGGTCAGGGCAGAGAGGGGGAAGCTGTCAGCGGGGTAGGGGACACAGCACATGGGCCACCCCCCTTTCCCTGGGCCTGACACCCTCAGGACACCCCCTTCTCCGAGGGGAGAGGCAAGAGGCTCATTCAGTGCCTGCGCTGGCCATACTCACCTTGGGGACCGGCGGGTGCCATCTCCCCTCCCCAGGGGGCAAAGCACCCCACAGTCACCAGCCTGTCCCAATGCCCAGTGGGCAGAGACAGCGTGGGGCCAGAGCCAGCACCATTTCCTCATGCCAGTGCCCATCTCCAGGGGTCAGGGGACCCCAAGGCACCACCGCGGTGGCTGCAAGGACAACCCCCACCTCACGGTCAGCACAGGGGTCCTGCCTCAGCACACAAAAGTGGCGGCGAGCTCCGTGTGACACCAGGCACAGCCCCTACGCCCGCAGCCTCACTGGCCCTGAGCAGCAGGAGCCGCAGGGCACCCTGATGGGGGGTAAGTGGGGGACACACGTGGGTCCAGAACTCCGGTGGGGGGAGACAACGCAGCCAAGCATCTTCTTCTTCCCACCCTCAAACACGACTTGCTCCCAGGGCTCTTGCTGCCCAAGGGGCAACAAAGAACCCAAGGGGAACCAAAGCCCCCCCGCCCCCCTCCACAGCTCGGCGGCACCCCCTGCCCCCCAGCACCGGGCTGCGCCGGCAGCCGCCCGGCTCCCCGCTATAAATAGGCCCCGCGCGAGGCCTCCGAGTGCCGGCATCTCCGGGAGCAGACAGCAGTTGGCAGCCGCGGCACCCCCGCCCCCCCCGGGAGCTGTGACTCAGCACAACGCTGCCCGCCAGGACGGCCAAGGTCGCCAGCACCCGCCACGCACCCCGGTCCTCTCGCTGAGCCCCCCCCCCCCCTCCTCCCCGGGGAGGGGGGGCACGGCCCCACACCACCGCCCCCCCCCCCCCTTCCCCGGGGTGCTGCACCACATCCCATCCCACGCGCCACCAGCAACGGGGTTGGTACCGTCCCCTCCTGCATGCAAGCCCCCCCAGCCCCCCCGCCCCGACGCCTGAAGGCAGATGGCTCCTTACCGTCTTGCGTTCTCGTTTCGGGGGGATCGGTGGCTGCTGGCTCACAATGACCTGGGCGGTGGGGACCCCCGCCGGGAACTGCTGCACCCCCTGTGCGGGGTAATAAGCACCCGCTGGAGGAGAGGAGAGAGCGTCAGACCGGCCAACCCAGGCCCTCCACGCCCGTCCTGGGGACCCCCCAATCCCCTAAACGCAGGGGTCTGTCAGGAGCCTGGGGAGCCCGTGCCGTTCTGCAGCGAACCCCCATCGCATCCGGCCCGGATTGTCCCAACCCGCCTGACAGGCCTGACCGAATTCCTTCCCCGTGAAGCACAGCGTCCCCGCGCCGCCCCCACACCCAGCCGGGCCCCGCGGGCGCCCGCCGTGCCCACCGGCTCCATGCTGTCACCAGTGGCCCCACTGGGACGCTCGGCCATGCCAGGTACCGGCATCCCAGCTCTGCCAGTGGCCGCCTTCCTGTCAGCACCCTTATCTCCCCGAGGCCGGCACCAGCCCAAGGGCGGCACCAGGCAACCCCGTCCGCGCCCTCCATTCACACCCAGGCCGAGGGGCTCGGGCTCCCGGCACAGCCCGAGCCCCCCGGTGAGCCCAGCCCAGAGGAGGGAGCCGTGCCGGGGGCCGGAGGCAGAGCTGGACCCCATCCAGGGTTGGCACAGCCCCTGAGAGGCACTCTGCTCCTCCCAGGATATCCGCGAGCATCACCCCCAGAGCGGTGCCACGGGCACACAGGCACGGTGAGTGGAGGGGGGGGCACAGCTCCAGCACCTTCCCAATTGTGCCGAGCCCAGAACTCACCCAAAGGAGCTTTGGTGACTGCTCCGTCCCCGAGGCAGGGATCCCTCCCTCTGCCCAGGGGGGACGCAGGGGCACTGGATGGGCCTCGTACCCCAGGACAGGCCAGGCATGGAGGAGAGGGAGGGAGACCCCAAGCTGCCCAGGGCCAGCCCGTCTCGCCCATGGAGGGACACACCGTGCCAGGCCACCCACCCAGTCTTGGGGGCAAGGGGCACGCTGCTGCCAGCTCCCCCGGGAACAGCTGGAGCCCCAAAGCAGAGGCGGGGGGCAAACCCATCCGGGGACCCCACAGAGATAGCCAGGGGATGCCCCAGCGCCAGGCACAAGGGAGTAGCCATGCCCTAGCCCGAGTGCGGGAGCCAGCCGCTGCCGGGGGCCACCTCCCTCCTCCGAGGGGCCAGCTGGGCCCTGGGAGAAAAGGGAGGGAGGACGGGCACGTACCTGGCTCAGGAGAAGCCCATCTCTGCCCCGGTTACACTTTGCAGCCGTGCCGGGGCCCAGCCAGAGGCCTCGGCTCACATTTCTGCGTCTGCCGGGCCTCTCGGGACCGACCAAGCCTAAATATAGTCACAGCTTGGGTGGCCACATGCGAGCGGGGGGGAAGAAGGGGGGGCTGCTCACACTGCCGCTCCCCAGTGCCGGGAGAGGGCAGGCGTGGAGCGGCCCCGGCACCCCAGGCTCGGCTCCTTGGGGAGCGGGGAGCTGAGGAGGGGGTTTTGGCAAGCACAAAACTGCTCACCACCTCGACGATGAGTGAGGGGGTTGCAGGGGATAAAGTCTGCCCCAGCCCTCCGCCAGGAGAGTTAAACATTAAACGGCCCCGATTTGGAAAAGGGCGGGGACACGATGCGCAGCCCTCAGTGCTGCTGAGAGATGAGCAACACCCCCTGCCCCCCAAAACAGCTTGTAATAAAGTTGCAGAGACAGCCCCAGTGAGCTGGCAGAGGCAAAGGAAGGGGTCTGTGCTCAGCTGGCCAGAGGCAGCAGAGCAAAAAAAAAAAAAAAAAAAAAAAAAAAGTGGGGTGCTGGGGCTGGAAGAGCACCAGGGAGCAAAGCAGGCCCCCCATCTGTACCGTAAGTGCCGAACTCTGTGGGGCTGGCTCCAGGGTAAAAACTAGGGGCGCCGGGCTGGACCGGGTACTGTTGGGTTGGGACGACGTACGTGGAGCGACCCTGCAATGGGGGAGAAAAAGAAAGGTCTGTTACCTCCTCTGCGGGGCATGGATGCACCCCCAATCCACTGATGTACCCCCCAAAACTGCCTGTGAACCAGCTCGGCACCAAGGCAGGGAGCAGGCAAAGTGGGCACCAGGCACCTCGGGGTGGGGGACTGCTGGGGAGGGGGACCAGGGCTGCCTGCTGCCTCTCTACAGAGCTGGGCAACACCCTGCTCAAATCAGTGGGTGCTCAGAGAGCTCGGGGGACCCCTTCCACCCTCCCAAAACAGACCTGGGATCCAACTCCAGGCAACAACAACCCCCCCCACACACACCGGTCCCCACCCCAGCCCCCTCCTGCAGAGCCTGGGGCACTGCCCTCACCTGTCCGGGAATGTAATAGGCTCCTTGGGAAGGTGTGTAGGATATCTGGGAGGGTATCATCATCACCTGGGAAGCGGCCGGATACACATGGGTAGGGGGGCCGGGCCGGGCCGTCGTGTTACTCTGCACGCGGGACGCGCTGGCGGGAGGCTGCGCCCTGTTCTGGTAGAAATGCTTGGGGAGAGACAGGGCACGGCGTCAGGTGGAGCGCCAGCACCCCCCGCACCCAGGGAGGGACCCTCCCTCCCGCCCCACACCGGGGGGAGCAGCCTAGCGGTGCACATCACCCCAAAAAGTCAGCCCTGGGTACGGGGAGAAGGGAACAGCTCTGAGGAGGGGGGATGGGGAGAGGGGAGTCGTGCCCCCCCACCCCCACCCCATTCCCCGGAGCTGACCCCCCCCCCACCCCGTCACCATCCTGTCCCCACGCACCTGAGGGGCCGCCTGGGTCCACCCGACCCAGCTCATGCCCGGCGCGACCCCCTCCCAGCCCGGCGGGGGCCGGCAGCTCCAGCGCCCGGAGCCGGCCACGGCCGCACGCAGCTCGGCGGTGGCGGCGGTCCCGGCGTGCCTCGCACCGGGTCCCGGCACTCGCGCTGAATGCTGGGACCTGTAGTCCCGCCGTGCCAGAGCCGTGCCGGAGCCGGACAGCCAGGAAGTGAGGAGCCAGCTATTCCTCCCCCTGGCCCGTGCCGTTTGTCCCAACCCGGCTTCTTTGCCGGGCAGGAGCATCCCCGGGAGCAGCAGCTCAAGCCCGCAGCGAGTGGGCACGAAAGGGTCACACACGCACCCCCGGGCAAGGAGAAAGCATTACCTGAAGAGACCTGAATCCTCCCTGTTAGCAAGTGCACGCGTACAGAGGGAAAAGGGGAAAGAGAGAGACAGGAGTTACCCACGTTGGGACAGGGCTTGGATGCAGGACGGCTGGCAGAGGAGGGGACAGGAGGCTGGGGAGCCCTTTGCCCAGTGCCCACATCCCACCGGGGTCTCCTGTAGGGACCCCCCCAAGGGGCAGGGAAGAGTTTGAGGGGCTCCCAGCCAGCACAGCCAAGAACGTCACCAGATCTGTCCCCAGCAGCTCCTCTGCACAAGAGGGCTGATGGAGGTCCAGAGGCTTGCAGGGCACCGGAGGGCCTTTGGAGACCCCCGCAAAGTGGGGAGGAAAAGGAGGATGAGGAAGGGCACAGGCAGAAGCAGCAGCCTGGGCCAGGGTTAGCACAGGCACGGCCACATGCTGCAGGCTTCATGCAAAGAGGAAACTGGGGAGACACTGCAGGGAAACCCCCCTCCCAATGTCAAGCAGGTGTACCCCACTTTCCCCAGACGAGCCTGTCCGCCAGCTCTGGGGTCCCCATGTGCTCCCCGGTCCCTTCATGCCCAGGGTCGGTGTTTCTGTGCAGTGTCAGGACAGGGTGCTCGGCATGCGGGGTGGGGGAAGCGGGTTAGTACCTGCTGGTGAATAGCCCGAGGCCCTGCTGGAAACTGAGAGAGGAGGAGAAGGAGGTTTGGGGCAGGGGAGGAAGGAGAGAAGAGCAGTCACTCAGAGGGCACCCCTGGCCGGAGGCGTCTGCCCCCCCCTAACCCCAGGGTCGGGAGGTCCCCAGGCAGCAGTCACAGTCCGGATCACAGGCACGCTCCCCCTCGCAGGTACACACCAGCCCCGAGGGGCACCACGAGGCTCCTCGCACCCCTGGGCACCGCAGCGGTGGGGGCTACTGGGCCAGAAAGCAGAAAGCTGCTGGATGCCCCCCCATCGCCCTCTCCAACGCAGGGCAAAGCCCTTACCTGGCGCGGCTGAGAAGGCGTATTCATTTGTGAGGTCGGTGCCGGGTTAAAAACCACAGGTGCCGTCTGACCGGGTGGGAACGTCGGCTGGAGAGAGGCAGGGAGGGAAGGAGATGGCACCGCCGCCCCTGGCATGAACTGGGGAGGCAAAGCCGGGTCCCCCCCACACCAACGGGGCCGGTTACCTGCGGCAGTCCGGGAGAAGGGGCAGGGTGCGGGGCTGTCGGGGCTCCTCCTGTGGGCTGTGGAGCTTTGTTCATTTCATGGGATTGTGCATAAGGATCCCCTCGCTATCTGCAGGGACAGGGACAGCAGCCGTAAGCCGGAGGTGGGCATCGGTCTCCTGTCCATGTCAGCCCCAAAAACGGGACGTTCTCAGCCCCTCAGCATAAAGCCAGACACCGGCCATACCCCACGGACGGCATTCTGCCAGGGCGCATGCCCCAGTCACCCTTTCCTGCCCCACTGGGGCATGGGGAGAGGGTGAGCACCACCAGGTCGCCCAGCCGGGGCAGGTCCCCACACCCTGTGGGGCAAATCCCCCCCGCATCGTGCCCCAAACCCAGCCGCGGCCACCAGCAGGACTGACACACACACACCCCCCTCCACCAAAGTGACCCTGCAGAGCCAGGCCGGGTGCCCCATGCAAGCAGACACCAGCGCCCGTGACCTGCCGCAAGCACCCAGGCCACCATCACCACCAAACTCCGGGGGGCTGGGTGGGCCGGCGGCACCCCGGCGTCAGCCGTGCCCGGCTCCACCCCGGCTGACCTACTAAGCGCTTCCCCTGGCCGGCCAAACCTGTTCCTGCTGGTGGTGCCGGGTCCCCGGCGTACGCGGCAAACGCCTACCAGGAAGGGCAGGGAGCAGCTCCCGCGTCCCCCCGTGTCCCCCCCCCAGCACCGCTGACGCTCCTGCCCGGGGGGAACCCACTGCCCCCCGTCAGCACCAGCACCCAGGCGGCCCGGACACCTCCCGGTTGTCCCAGGAGGGACTTGGCAGGCGATGCTGCTCTCCCCGCCCCAGTTCAAAGGCCGCCGGGGGCAGAAAGGAAAGGCGGTGCGTGTCCCCCCCCCCACACCCCGCTCTACCCAGTCGGGGGGGTCCACCTGTACCCCACAGTACCCGGCGAGCTCCCCACCAGCCGGGACACCCAAGGGAGCAGCCGCGGTGCCTCCTGTAACCTGACGCCCGGCCGCGTCAGCACCCGGCCCCGCCAGGCACGTCCCACCCGCACCCCTGGGCCACCACAGAGCACCCTGACCCCCCCCCCCCCCCCAGGGCTGCACCCTGGCATGGAGGGGGGACAGTCCCATCACAGGGGACATCCCCCCCTCAAGGATCCTGCTGGGGTTTCAGGAGGTAGCAGGGGCTGGGCTCGCACCCCGCGGTGCTCCCTGTGGGTCCCCTACTCACCGGGGAACCGAGAGCCTGGCCTTAGCACCGGTCACTCCAAAAAAAAAAAATAAAACAAAAAAAAAAATAAAACGTGGGGGGTGTCACACATGGGATGAGGACCCCCAGGGGCAGCCCCGGCCTCCCCCAACTGGCAGCACAACCGGGATACTCACCCCCCCGCGGGAAAAACCTGGGCCGGCTGAGCGGGCCTGCAGAGACCGTTCATCCGACTGACTTGGAGAGGAAACAGAGAGAGGGGGGGGGGGGGAAAAAAAAAAAAAAAAAAAAAAAAAGAGACAGATGAGCGCGGGGGGAGCCCACCCCGGGGCCGTGCTGCCCCCTCCCCGGGGTGCGGCAGGTCCCGTCCCGGGGGCGGGGGCGGGGGGGGAAGCGCCGAGGGGGGTTTTGCAACAAGAGGAGCCGCGGCGGCCGCTGCCTCCCCCGCGCCGGGAGAGGCCCGGGCTGCGCTGGGCCCCGCCGGGCCGGGGGCGGTGGGGATGGGGGGGGTCCGTACCGGACACACACACACACACACACACACACACACACAGACACACACACACACCGGGAAGCGGGGCGCCGCGGCGGCGGGGGCCGGCTCGCCGGGCGGCCGGACAAGGCGGGTGTCCCCCGGCGGCGGGGCTGGGCCAGGCCGCGGCAGCCGGCCCCGCCAGGCCCGAACCCGGCCTCGCCCGCGGGGCCGAGGAGGGCGACCCGGCCGGCCGGCGTTACCGGCTGAAGTCCCGGGGCGGCGGGCGGGCCCGAGGGGCCGGCACCATCTTGGCGGCGGGGCGGGAGCGGCCGGGGCGCGGCGCGGGGCCCGGGGCGGCGTGCGGCAGCAACACCCCCCCCCCCCCCCCCCCCCCCCCCACACACACTCACACACACACACACACACACACACTCCCCCCCCCCCCCCCGCGGCGGCGGCGGCCTCTGCCAAGGACACGTGTCACTGCCGCCCGCCGCCATGGCCCGCGGCCCCGCCGGCACCGGCGGCACGGAGCGGGCGTGGCGGGGGCGCGCACCACGTGCGGCGGCGGCGGCGGCGGCGGCGGGCCTAGGCGGGCGCGGCGGCGGCGGCGGGGGAAAGCACGTGCGCGGCGGCGGGGCGCACCGGCCGGCACGTGGGCGCGGAGCGGGCGCCTGCACGGGACGCACCGGGGCGGCGGCGGCGGCGGCCGGGCCCAGCGGGGAGCGGGGAGGGGAGGGAGGGGGCCGGCGGGGCGGCGCCCACGTGGTGGTGGCGGCGGCGGGGCCCGGCGGCGCGAGGCCCGGGGCGGCGGCGGCACGCGGCCCGGTACCGGTACCCCCCCCCGCCCTTCCCCTCCCCCCCCCCCACACACACCCACCCCCCCCGCCCGCCCCCCCGCGGCGCGCGCCCGCCCCGCCCCCGCCCGTTACCTTCAGTCTCCTTCAGCGCGCGCGGCCCGACGCAGCCGCAGCGCAGCGCAGCACGACCATTTCCGGAGCCGCGCCGCGCGCAGGGGGCGGGGCTGGTCGCCGCCGCGGGGGGAGGGGCGGGGGAGGGGGGAGGAGGGGGGGGCGGGGCGCCGCGCCTTGAAGCCGCGGCGGGCGCCGCCCGCGGCACGTGACGCCGGCCGCCGCGCCCACGTGGGCGCCACGCCTCCCGGGTAGCCACGCCCACCGCGGCCGCTCTGCCCCACCCACCCACCCCCCCCCCCCCCCCGATCCCGTGCGGTAGCACGTGCCGCCGCCGCCGCCGCACCCACCCGTGACCCGGCGTCACCCCGGCCCGCACCCACCCGGGATCCATCCGCCCAGCCTCGGCACCCGCACGGCCGCACCCACCTGCGCCGGCACACCCCCCCCAACCCCCGCTCCGGGGACCGGCGCTCGCACCCACGGGTGTCTGCTCGCACCCGTGACACAGCCCCTTACCCACCCCGCCCCCCCGTGGGACTCTGCCAACCCCCCAGGACCCAGCCGCCCACCCGCGCCCCGCTGGGGCAGGGCACCCACGCTGCCGGTTTTGGAAACAGAACAAGGTTTTCCTCTTTCCTAAAAATACGCCTCCACCCCAAGACCGATTTTAATCCCGACGCCCACAGTGCCTAGCACACCCCGGGGGGGGGGGGGGACACCCCAGACCCCCCCAGGACGCCCATCCCGGCCGGGGCCAGCCAGCGCTGGGTGCAGGGGGGAGGTGGGTGCTGTCCCCTGGGGCACAGCCAGGCCCAGGGTGGGGAGCAGCGGGACCCAGACCCCTGGGGCGGGGGGAGGGTGCTGGGAGCACCCCCCAACTCTTGCATTCACCCCCTGCTGCTCAGGGGCCGCAGTGCCCAGCCTGCACCCCCTTGCACCCATACGGCTGCACGAGAGGCTCCACATAGTTTATTTCCTTGACTTTCAGTAACAAAAACAAACAAAATAAACAAACTAGGGCTTTTCCCTCCGCCTACCCACCCACCCACCCACCCCCCCCGACCCCCCTCAGCTCAAACATCGTAGTTGGGGTTCTTGCGTAGGATAACAAATCCCTCGAGGATGGGCGTCACGGGCACGTGCTCCTCTGTGGCCAGCTCGGCCCGCTCGCCGTGGGCCAGCAGCACCGGCGTCGTGTGCGTCTGGAAGCCGGTGATGGTTTTGGGTTTGCCCGCCTGGCCCACCACGTCCACAGCCTGGGGGAGAAGAGCGAGGTAAAGGCTGGGGACACGCAGGGACGCCGCGGCACCCCACCCTCAGCTCTGGGTGCCCCTTACCTGTCCTACCCGAACCGACACAGGCAGAGGGCGCAGCTCTTCATCGAAGGTGACCAGCATGCGGGGCTGCATGGCAGCAACGAGGCCGTACAGAACGTAGTGGGACTTGCCCAGGATAACTGGAAGGGAGACAGAAGGCAAAGGGCCTGAGCAGCACCCGCCCCACGGGACAGAGGGGTGACAAGGAGGGGGGGGGTGCTGAGCCCACAGTACTCACTGTTGCGCACATCCAGGAAGGACACGAGGACGGTCAGCAGCCCGGCCACGGCCACCTGGCTCATGAGCTGGCGATCGCTGTGGTACGGGCACAGGGTGAGCGTCCCCTTGCCCAGGTGGGTCAGGCCCTGGGATGGCAGAGAAAGCACGTGAGAGAGCGGTGGGGTAACACCCGGGACCTCCAGGCCCTGCCTGGCGGGAGGGTGACACCCCCAGGGACACCACTCCCCTCCAACACCCACGGCAGGGACCCCAACCTGCCCCTTCCCTGCCACCAGCAGCGAGCGCAGGGTCATCACCTGGGCTAACCGCACCATGAAGAGGTTGTTGGGGTCCTTGGCGTGGTACTGGGCAAGCTGCCGCAGCATCGCTGCCAGCCGGGCGTTGTTGGTACCTGGGGAAGAGGGGGTGCAGGCAGAGATTAGGGTACGCAGCTCGGGTCTCCCACCTTCCTCCTCATACGAGCTACAAACTGGGCCGTCCCTCAGGCTTACCGCTGCCCACCATGCCCATGGCAAAGATGGAGTTGTAGGAGACCTCGGGGTCTGCGTCGTGGGAGAACTTGCTGAGGGTGTCGAGGATGTTGAGCCGGGGGTTGGAGACCGAGATAAGTGCGAGGGCCAGGGGCACGGCACGGCGGAGGGTGGGCTCCCCATACCGCAGCTGCACGGAGGGGAGGTGGGCGTTAGACCCAGCTTACCAAGGGCTACCGAGATGCGAGGCAAGACCCAGGCTCTACTCCCAGGTCCCTTCCCGGCTCTGTGCTGTTCCCCCCCGTGTCACTCACCAGGTGGCCAAAGGTGCGCAGGGCCATCTCAGCACCGATTTCCTCGCCCATGGCAATGAGCGCGATCCCCAACACCGCTACGCCCTGCGGGGACACGGGCGCTGAGCGCCAGGCAGGGAACACGCAGCCCAAAACCCAAGTTCCCACAGCCCCCGCGCCCCTCCTGAGACCAAGGGGACGAGGAGAGCAGGGGATGCTGCTGGGAGCTGTTTTCCTCCAGCTCTGATCCCACCAGGGCCTTAGGGATCCCCCCAAAGCTGCCCCCTGCCCCAAGGGACACAGGTCCCAGCCCACATTTCCCCACCTGGTGAGCCCCCATGTCAGCTGAGCTCTCTTTCTTCTCCTTCTCTTTCTTGTCCTTTTTGTCCTTATCCTCCTCTTTCTCCTTTGAGTCAAAGTGCTCACTGCAGATGTGCAGGAGCTGTTGCACCTTCAGGACATTCCCCGAGCCTGGGGGCAGGGCAGAGGGCCAGGATCAGCAGGTGGAGCATCCAGGATCCGCTCCTGCCTCCCCCACCTCAGTCAGCCCAACTCACCCGCATAGGCACAGATGTCCACCAGCGTGTTGGCGAAGCTGCGGAACGGCTCCGACACCACCTCCAGCGCTGCCAAGATGGCCTCGATCGCCTCTCCCTTCCCTGACGAGGAAGGTGGGGCGGTTAGGGAACAGCAGTGGAGGGGTGCTCCCACCCCACCAGCCACTGGCACTGCCCAGCCTTACCCAAGTGGTTCAAGCCCAGGCCGAGCGGCAGCCACCGGGCATATGTGTCCTTCAGCTCTGTCTCTGATTTCTCCATGATGGTCTGGAGGATGGTTGAGGTGACATCCCCATTGCAGGAGCCCACAGATATCATCCCACAGGCCAGGGCGGTCACACCAGCCACCTGGTGAAGGAAGGAGACATGTTGTATGTGTTGATGGTGCAGAGTAAGCTGGCCCACAGCTCGGGGCCAGGTCTGCACAGTCTGACGGCCATCCAGGCTGAGAGAGCACTGGGCACCCTTGGTCCCCGTTTTGTGCAAAGACTTGGGCTACTGGGAGACCTGACAGCTTCTTACCCTCCCCCATCTGCTGCAATCCCATTGTGGGAGCAACTCAGACGGAGAAAATAGGGTCCTGTTCTCCTGGCACGGCACAGCACCGAGCTGGGGCATGTAGCCTTGCTCTCAGAGCCCAAACCGGCTGCAGGACAGCCCCTGTATTCCCCAGAGCTGCTGGGGACCGGGTGGGGAAGCAGAAACCCCAAGCGAATCCAGCCTTGCTCCCTACCTCCATGCTGGACTTGGAGTCTCCCATCACAGGTAGCAGCAAAGTCAGGACGTCCTCACGGTTGGAGCCCGCGTACGCCAGCCCCAGCCTGCGGAGAGTCCAGGGGAGCGTGAGGGGGGAGCTGCACCATCCTCCACGGCACAGGACGGCTGGGGCCAGGCCCTTACCCAAAAATGGCTCCGATCCTCATGGTGTTGCTGTTGTGGAGGACGTAGTCGGACAGGAGTGCCAGGGCAGGGTCACACTCGTTCCTCACCCCCGAGTTGACAATGCCACAGGCCAGGAGGGCTCCTGACTGCAAGGCAAAAGCACCATCACGCACCAGCTACCAACGCGCAATGTTCCCTGACAGCCAGTGACTAATGTCACCCCACGTTACACCCACTCCCCAGGACGGACAAGTTGGTACCAAGTGAACACCACCACTCTGGGTCCAGCTGAGCAGTGAAAAAATCTCATAGCTCTGCGACAAGGGGACCCCAGAGGTGCCTCAGGCAGTCCCCGGGAGCAACACAGCTTGCTGCAAGCTACTCAAAAACTTGGGACACGGGGCATCCGACTCCTCTCCAGCCAGGAGCTGAGCCAGTGGACCAAGGCAAAGTCAACCATCCCCTGAGGCAGCCGCACACCCAGCCCACAGCAGGGCTGCCCCGTGCAGCCTGTGGCAGGATCGGTGCCACTGACCTTGATGTAATCCTCTGAGGAATACAAGTACTTGTCGATCTGCGTGAGCCCCCCGTCCACGTCCCACAGCAGTATCGTGCCCAGGGAGGCCGCAGCACTCAGCATCCCTGCAGTTCCAGGGGAGAAAAGCCTATGTCAGCCCTGAATCCATGTGCCTTGCCTGGGGCGGGTGGTGGCCAGGGACACGGGGCAGCCCAGCAGCAGCCGTGCCCTGCAGCCCCCCCCAAAAGGGACAAGGTAGCAACCCCAACCCTAGGGGCACCTCCAGCCCGTACCCAGCTGGCTCCCTCACCATGGTCCTTGTTCTTGTACAACCATTTATTGCCATCGTCCGTCAGCAGCTTGTCTTGTCCAAACGCAGCATTCACAAAGCCGTTCACAAAGGAGGAAGCCAAATTCATCCGGGCCGAGTCCACTTGGGAACCGCTTCCCCCGAACCCTGGGGAACGACGTCAGGGTGAGCCGAGCAGCCAAAGAAGCCCTGCCAGCCCTCCACCGCACGGCCATCCCATGCTACAGGAAGACGAGGACCTGTCCCACCACCAGCAGGAAGGAGAAGCCCAAATCCACAGCAGGCAGCTGGGTCTGCTCCACACCAAGTCAGAGACCACGGGCAAGCCACCTGCCCACCTCGGGACACGCAGCTGACTGCCGTGGCCCGGAGGTGCCTTGCAGCCTCAAGAACAACAGAGGCCACAACACAAGCCCTTACTGTTATTTTCCAGGTGGGTTTTGTAAATATCGTCCGGTACTTTGGGCTCCATGATGTCCAACTGCAGAGAAAAGGGAGAAGAGGGTTATCTCCTGACCAGCACACCCCA